CAGTATTCCTCGGCCTGCGGCTGGCTGTGAGTGTTTGCAGCTGCTCTGGGTTGTTCGGAGTTAGAATGTAGTTAGGATGGGAGGTAGACTTTTCTTCTTCTTCTTCTTCTTCTTCTTCTTCTTCTTCTTCTTCTTCTTCTTCTTCTTCTTCTTCTTCTTCCTCATCCTCATCCTCCTCCTCCTCCTCCTCCTCCTCCTCCTCCTCCTCCTCCTCCTCCTCCTCCTTCTTCCTGTCCCTCCTTCATTCTGTTGACTAATTTATCGTAAACTCCTAACAATCTCTCTCTCTGTGTCCCTCTCTTTTTCCCTCTCTCTCCTACCCCCCCCCAGGCATTGAACTCAGCACTTTCATGCAGTTCTGCCACTGAGCAATCCCGCCACCTCTTCCTCTTCTATTTAAGTCATGATCTGAGGGATGATCTAGAAAGTGTCTGCTCAGAGGACAGGTAGGATGGCTCAGTGGGAAAAGGTCCCCATCCAGCCTGATGATGTTCTGAGTTTAATTCCCAGGACCCACAGGGCTAAAGAGAGAGCTGACTCTACACCCCCTTCTGACATCCCCATGCTTGCTGGGCGTGAGCATGCGGCCACATAATAAATAAATGGAATCAAGTTGTTTTTTAATTTAAAGCAAATTAGACATGTAGTTTTCCCCTTTGCTAATAGAGGTAGCAGTGTGGTCCAGTGATCACACAAACTGTTTTTTTTTTCAGGCCCACCATGTGTGTGTTGTGGGGTTACTGGCTACACCCCTGAAACTGTGCTTGTTTGGATTCATTTGCTGTTCTATTCCTAGCACCTAGCAGAGCCTAGAATGAGAAAAGTGAAACCTACCAACTTGGTTTCCAAGATTTTATAAAGTGCGATCTGATGCCAGTGATTATTTAAATACTTGTTCCAATAATGGTTGAAATCTTATATGTAAAAGTAATTAAGCCAGCTGGTTCTCTAGGGAAAAGGTTTCACAGGGTTTCAGCAACTCTGTTTGGGAATGTTAAGGACTGGCCTGAACCCCAGGTCCCATGTTGTGAACTCAAGACTCCCCAGGTTCCTCAGTGCAGGTGGAGTACAGCTGGTCCCCGCCTTTGGCGACACCTCTTTTCTCATTGTAGTTTCTCCATGGCCGTGTTCAGGCTGCACGTGAGGCGGAACATAGCAGACCTACAGTGACCCGCTTTACTCCATTTTTGTAAAAATTATGTTATAAATTAATATTTCTTCCTTTCCTCTCGTCCTCTCTTTCTTTGTCATAGAGTCTTGCTGTGTAACATAGTCTGGCCTCGAGTTTTCAGTTCTCCTGTTTCTGTGCTGGGATTACAGGTGTATGCATGTGTGCATACATGTTCTTGTGCGTGAATACACATGTATGCAAGTACATACACATGTGGAAGCCAGAGATGAACCTCGAGTTTTTCCCTTGGTCATTCTCTACTTTATCACTGAGACTGGAGCTCACCTTTCCGACTAGCTAGCAGGTTTCCCTCGGGATCTTCTCAGCTTCCCTTCCCAGGTGCTGGAGGTGATGGGAAACACAGATTAGACTTCTGGGTAGGGAAGGGCTGGTTGGAGAGCTGCAGGGAACCTGGAAAAGAAACCCAAGCCCCGGGAGGCTCATAGGGCAATGGCCAAGAGCACACTTCTGTGACTGTGGTTTGAAGGGACTAGGAATGTTTAGCTCTGAGGAGGTAGGTCTGAATGTCTTGAAAGGTTACTTCAGCCACTTAAAATTCTGTCTGGGGGAGAAGGTTTTCTGAAGATCCCTAAGAGATGGTACTCAAGTATGGAAAGGGATAATTATTCTTCTTTATTTTACTTGCTCTTATATTTGTTCATTCAATATCCCCCCATTTTTTTTTTTTTTTGTTACTCATTCTTTGCCAAAAATGAAGTGAGGGATTGAAAATCATGTAAGATAGGAACCATGTAAGATAGGAACGTTTTTCTTCAGGGGTCCATAGTCTCAAGTCCAGCTGAGGATGGTGAAGGGGGAGGCAGGTGTGCAGACAGATGGTTGCGGTGCAGAATGAGAGACAGACCTTACGTGAGAACTCTTCAGATGAGGTCAACAAAGGTAGACCAGGCTACCCTTTGATGATACAGATATCCTCCTGCTGAAGGTTTCCGGTGGAATATACATGACCCAGTCATCGTGTGGTACAAAGTTTCAGACATTAGATCCCAATAGATTAATCTACCCACCAAGAATTCTCTTAAACATGATAAAATGACCAAGAATGAAGATGGTTGGTGAAGCTGTCCTGGCATAATCCTGGCCTGTGGGCCTGATGGGAGTGAAATGTAGCTGCTGGCTGAAGGCTGGGAGGCCAGGGAGAGCCTGTTTTGGGCAGTAGGTAGCTGTGGGAGTATAAAATTGGAACTGGCAGCCTGGAGTAGGAGGGCATCGCCAACTATGATGCTGGATGCCTTCTTGGAAGAGCTGAGGAACCTGAGTTAGAGCTGGAAGAGAAGACAACGGCAGTCATATATGGGAAGTGAAGCTAGAAATAAATTAAACTGAAATAAAATGACCCAGATAGTCATATAGTTCATGCAAACAGAAGTATCTTTACTTGATTTGATATTGTTTGTTAAAAAGGGAAAGGGGTAATTGGTTTGCCAAAGTTTGGTCAAGATGAATTAAAAAATCCAGTTGAGTTTGACTCTAAAAAGTTAAATAAGATTTTGATTAATGAAGAGAGAAGTCATTGGCACAGAGCTAGACATCCCCCAATTCCTTGTCATTGGCACAGAGCTAGACATCCCCCAATTCCTTGCTCCTTTTCCCTCTCCTTCCTGTGTGTGAAAGAGTATTTGGTGAGGGCCAGGTGTGATGGCTCACATCTTTAATCCCATCCCTCAGGAGGCAGAGGCAGGTGGATATCTGTGAGTTTAGCCTGGTCTACAGAGTGAGTTCCAGGACAGCCAGAATAACATAGTCTCAAGAAACAAAACAAAAAAGAATATTTGATGAGCTAGCAGGCAGTGTAGCTTGGTGATAATTCCCAGAATCTAACACTAGAAAGAAAGACAAGAAGAGCGAGAGAGAACTGGTCAAGCTCAGAGATTTCTGAGGCATAAGTTGAATGTAGACTGTGTGTACAGCCTTAGTTTCCATCGATGTCCTATTATAAAGGACTGAATTTCATCTGTACTAATAAATTCTTTTCAAGGCAGTACACATACCTTTTTTTGGTAAACTATTTAACATGTTATCTACTGTACATTAAAAAGGCAAGACACTTTGTAGCCTTTGGTCTGCAAAGATAGCAAAATGGCTCTTTGGAAAGATATATCAGTAATAATTATAACAATACAAGGGAATATGATAACCTGGAAATAAATCACTGCCTTGGGGCATAGAGAAGAGGCTCCTAACTTTTCGGGGGCCAGAATACTTTCTAAAGGTTCCATAGAAGAAATCACTCAATTAATCTTCAAAGGATGGGTGAATTCACTGTTTGGTAGGGAAATAGGCAGATGGAACATCACGTGTGAGGGGACAGAGGTGTTAAAATGATGGTGTATTTAAAGAAATTAAAGAAGATGGTATAGCTAGACTGCACCAGGGACTAAAAGGAGTGAGTGGTGGTGTGGCTGGTGCGTGGGCCTGTTCACGTAAGAGGAGGCCTCTCTTGAGGACGCTGAAGAGCATGGCTTTTATTCTGGCGTGTCGGAAGGAGTTTGAAATACAGAAATAGTGTGTTTCTGTGGATGGCCCCTGGAGAAACCATTGAGGAAGAAATCAGGGTGGAAGAAATCAGAGGTTTTCCATTTACTAGAGAATATTAAAAAGACTAATATAAAATTTTATAAGTTTATAAAAACTGTTACTTTTATCAAATACAGCATTCTGTCAGAGTTCTCTCTGTGTCTAATCTTTTTAATTATTAGAATGGCAGATGTATTGCATTTTAAAGAATTGATTTCCAAAGCAGTGGTATTCCAATCTGGCCAGCACTGAGCTTTTAATTTCTAAAGCACTGTAGTATCTAACTCCAAAGAGACTATAGTATAAGTAGTTGTGATTTAATATACAATTTCTCCCGTTGCATGCATTAATAAGGAGACGATATAAACTCTGTTTTCATTAAAATCCCTTGTTGGCATATGATGGGGATTTTCCTCTTCTCAGTTTTATTCTGTGTTTCAGAAGCACAGGGAAACGCTAGTAGATTAGGCAGGACGGTTGCGACCTTGAACACTGTACATTAGAATTGAATAGGATCTGGAGGGGGATCCAGAAGAGCTGGCAGAAGGGCAGTAACTTCCTTGTGAAGGACCAAGAAGTACTTCATGTTTTCGGGCGAATGATCACTGCCTTGACAGCCTAACCTGAAAGAGAGACAGGTAAAATGTAAGTGAAGGAGTCTGGTTTGGTCTCGGTAAAGCTAGCTCCAAGAACAGAAGTTTCGCAGACGGTCGGCAGTTGTCTCATCTGAACACGGAAAGAGTAACTTGTCTAAGAATTAGATGTCGTCAGCAAACTCAGTCCATGGGATGCTGCTAGGTGCTAGCTCAGGGGTTCTCAACCTGTGGGTCGCATATCAGATGTTTTTATGATTGGGGGTCACCTGCGGTATGAGGAACTGTGTTAAAGGGTCGCAGCATTAGGAAGGCTGAGAACCGCTGTTCTAGTTAATCTTCGTGTGATGAATGAATGGACGCAAAGAAGCCGTGGGATTTTACTGCATCTGGTGTTCCTGGGTTTCCCACTGAGTTCTTGCCTGGCCTGCATCTGCTTTTCAACTACAGTGCAGGGTCTGTCTTTCTTCTGTAGGCTCCGAGGTGAGAATGCAGAGAAAAGTAAAATCTTATTTTCACTTTTATCAGTGTTTGCCACACAGTAGGGATGTGCATCTGGGTTACCGACTACATTGGCTGGTAATATTCATGGCTGGCAGCAGAAGGGATGTATAATTTGAATTTTAGAACATTTTAAATATGTATTTCCTTGTGCTAAAAAATAGTAAGAGTGACTGTGTTATTCCTTTTGATTCTAGTAGCTGCTGCTGCTGGTGGTGACAATGTCTAATAACGGCCTAGACGTCCAGGACAAACCCCCAGCCCCTCCCATGAGAAACACCAGCACCATGATCGGAGCAGGCAGCAAAGACCCTGGGACCCTGAACCACGGCTCCAAACCTCTGCCCCCGAACCCAGAGGAGAAGAAGAAGAAGGACCGATTTTACCGATCCATCTTACCTGGAGACAAAAGTACAGTATTTAATTTGTTTTCATAGTTTTTGTGCTTTAAGAAGGAATACAAATCAAAGCAGATCATCTTCCCCCCTCCTAATCATCTAAATGAAAGGTGGCCTTCCCTGACTTCATTCTCCTTTGTACCTTTTATTTTTGTGTTAACTATTCTCCATTTCTTGCCTTCCTAAAGTGGCTAAAGCCAAATGAAAATTAGACTCATTGTTCAGAATTATATTTGAACAGAATTCTAAGAATAATTTTGTTCCTGTTAGCTATCAGACAAATTGAAGGCATATCTATGTATGTATCTCTTTTTTTTTACTTTTTAAAATGTTTATGAAATTATAAAACCTAAGCACTGTTTAAATGTCTTGGTTTGAAATTTTCTTTTGCCCAGATTGCTTTCACTTGGGATGCCTTCTTTGCATATTTTGATCCCCATATTGTTATTTTCTGTCTAGATCTCTGTTTCCACACTCAGATTGGGGATTTAGTATCAGGAAGGAATGGCTGAGCAACGAAAGCAGAGATAGGAAGAACTCACTGTGAGTTCACTATGAGTAAGACTTCCTAGGCGACCTCATTTCATATGTGTGTGTGTGTGTGTGTGTGTGTGTGTGTGTGTGTGTGTATGTGTGTATGAGAGAGAGACTGGATCTCACTCTGTGGGCTGTAAATGCTTGCTATCCTGCCTTGGCCCCCAAGTGGTGAGATGGCTGACATAAGCACCCTGCCCACCCTCCATTACCTTCTTATTAATAGAATTTGAAAGTAGAATAATCAGAATCTTAACCGTGGACCTGAAAAAGTCACCGTCGTCATTACAAAGTAGTGGGAACATAAAGGTTTGAGTGTCCCCGTGGCTTTTGCTTGGCACTAAAATGCTGACTTCGGTGACCGTTGACCTTCTTGTGTGGTTTTCATCTGTGAATAGTATAAGCTTCAGATTCAGATGTGCGTGCCTGATTCTCCGCCATCAAGGAAATCAGACAAGAGACGACTTTCTGAAATTGCGTATCTTATAAGGAACTTGCATCGCAAATACAGAAAGAATTACTACAACTTAACTAAAAATCAGATAACTAAGCTTAAAACTGGGCGAAGGATCTGAACAGACATCTCTACATAGAAGATAGACAAATCACAATTTAACATATGAATTAATGTTCAGTTATCAATAATTTCCAGGGGGAAAACGAATTCAAACCACATGAAATCCCACTCCACACGCACTAGGATGGCTGTAAAATGGGTGGATAATGTCAAATGTTGGTGAGAATACGGAGGTGTTTGACCCTCATAATTGCTGGTAGGAATGTAAAGGTAATAGCCTCAAGGAAAGGATTCTGGCGGTTCTGTAGAAGCTCAAATATAAAGATAAGTTACTACCCAGCAGTTTCACCAAAGAGAAGTAATGCTTTACCCTCATTTTTCATAATACCCAAATGTGGGAACAGCCTAATATTAAAAGTAGAATAAAGCCTCCATATAATGAAGAAAAAAGTCCTGAGCCTCACTGCACTTACGAGTGCTTGAAGGTCCTGTTAGGGAAAAGACCCAGTCACAGTGGTCACGTAGTGTGTGGTTCCCTTGTCTAGAGATGTAAGTCCATGGATAAAAGCCGTGTTAGTGGCTACGTAAGGATGCAGGATGGGTAAACATGGGATTAAGGGAGTGATGGCTAAGAGATACGGAATTTCTCTTTGGAATGATGAAAATGCCTGAGATGTCGTGGTGTTTGTCTAGCTCTGAAAAGACTAAAAGCCACTGATTTTATGCTTTGTAGGTGAATTATACTCGTATGTAAATTATTACACACAACAGTAGAGCTGGTGCGTGCATGTGCGTCCATGTGTTGTGTGTGGTGTATGTGCACATGTGGAGAGTGTGCTCATGCACCTGTCTCATCAGAGGAGGACATCCTAATCTGTCACATTCGACCTTACTCCCTTGGAGAAAGGGTCTCTCACTGAACTTGGAGCCAGGCGGGCAGTCAGCAAGCCCCAGTGACCATCCTGCTTCTGTTGCCCCAACCCCTCCACAATGTGGGGTTACAGACGCACATGGGCAAACCTTGTTTTTGACATGGGTGCTGGGGATTTTAACTCAGATCCTCATTCTTACATAGCCAACACGCTTACCCACTGGACCGTCACGCAGCCCCCTTTATTTGTTTTTAACTAAGATTCCCATCTAAAACACGGGGGTAGAAGTGGCACCTCATGCCTCATTGCAGCTGAAGGGAGTAGCTTTGTGCCAGGAATCTAGACACCTGGGTTATAATCTCGCTTCTTCACAGCTGGATGTCAGGTTTGTGTCAGTGACTTCTCCGTAGATGTCCGCGTGTCCATCTAAACAACGAGAGGGCCAGAGGCAGTGTCTCTTAGCTCTGCAACTCTGTATTGATGTAGATGACATATCGCAAGATGCCAGTAGATCAGGCTTGTCTATGTAGGTAGAGAGAAACCAGGCCATTGTGAGCTATTTTTATTGGTGACAGAGCGAGCTGTAGACCTGGAGGTTCTTCCGCAAATCTGATTGGGTACCCCTAGGCCAAATTGGGTCTGAAAATAAGTCTTCGTAGTTTGCAATTTTGTAGGTTGAAAGCTGTTAGAAGAAGTTCTTGCAAGACGACCCCAAAGCCTGTATTTTCTAGCTTTGGGTTTTCTTTAGATTCCCTTAGCATGGTGGTTTTATTCCTGCTCTAAGACCCTTGTTGGCTATTGTTAATGTGCATCAGGATGGAAAAATGGCCGAGTTTCTTGCGTTTCGTTCGGAATCTTACTTCAGCGAGCCATCTGTTCTCAACTGCAGGGTACACGGCATTGCTAGTCCTGTACCAGGCTCCGCCTTCATATGTATTTGAAGATGGATACGCGCTGCATAGAGAACTGGAAACGAACTCCCAGTAACCTGTAGTCTTCCCTCACATTAACTCTGTCATCTATTATTTGTAAATACTGTAATTTTAGAATCATCTGCAAAGCGGGAGTCACGCGATTCATGCTCACCTTGTACCAGCAGTGAGCCCTTGTGTACAACTGTGTCATGAATGTAAAAGCGTTTTCTAGACTATAAAACCATGCAGATAGGAGGTTATTTTTATGAGATCTCATTCTTTTTTTTGGTTGATACCCATATCTACTGCCCACAACCGCTTTCCAGTTAGAAAGCAGCAGCTTCGAGAGCAGTGAGCAGTGACAAAGGTCCCATTGGTGGAGAGGGAGGGGAATGAGTAGAACCGAGTCTTCCTACAGCGTCTGTGGCTTCATGCTGGTGTTAGTGGCTCTCGGGGACCCATGCATGCTGCTTCTCAGAAATACACGTATCAGCTCCTACCCAGACGCCAGAGGCAGGATTTCTAGAGACGTAGCGATGTGTCTCTAAGGGAGACAGAACGAAGAGGTCCATCAGGGTGGTGGTTTCCATTAGAGCTGGCGGTGGGCCGGGTCTGTGGGCATTACCTAATGCTGACCTCCAGGCTGGCCTCAGATGGCGCTGGACGGCCTGCGTAAGTGACTGGAAGGAGAGGCTGTAATTGAAGGCTTGCAGTAGGTGCTGCTGAGTTGCAGAATTCCATGTGGCGAAGCCTGGTTCCTGTGGTTAGGATTTGGAGCCTTTGGTTTATTCTAAGAAGTCTTCTGGCATTTAGTTTGAAATCTCTTTCTGACTGCATTTTTATGAACAAAGTGAAATTCTCTGAGCCTGGGAAGAGGTTAGTGAAGTTAATTTTAACGCTGAACGACAGCAGTGTTGATCTCTCTTACGTTTGGAATGTTTTACTGCCTTTGCTCGGATTAGTGCAGTCGAGCCAATGAGAGGTGCTGTTTAAAAATAATTTAAAAGTAGGGCTAATAGCTCTCGCTAAAACTTTAGTGTCTCTGTTAAAACATGGAATTTTGTAGTCAGCTGCCTTTCCCAAGCTGAGCCCAGGCTAGACAAAGCCAGACAGGAGGACGGTTGAATATGCATGCTCTTTTCCCATGTTAGCTTTTCAAACTTAAGGTCTCTACTTTCATGAAATCAAGGTAGGTCTTTCTCCTTTCTGTCTTCAGTCATATTTGAATTCTCTATCTTAATCAGCTTATTGAGAAATCTTATATCAGCAGTTGCTAATATTAATGATCACTCGTGGTTTTAAGGTTCTTTAGTTTATAAAACTATATATTTTAATTGTTTCACACAATAGTAAAAAAAAAGTAAATTGTCCTGGGTTTCTTCCTTTTTTTTTTTTCTTATTATTCTTTTCATTCTTTTTTCTTACCAGATTGTACTGTCTGATACTCATTGCTGTGTTAGACTTTACAAGTGGTGGTGGGAATCACCCTTATTTTGTTTTTAATTCCAGAGGAGAAGGATCCAATATTTATAGCTATATTTAGTAGACATTAGCTAGGCAGAGGCAGGGAAGGACATTCCAGAAGCAGACAGAATAAGCAAAGGCTTGGGAGAGTCAGCAGTGTGCTCAGGATTTCCCCCTGGTTTCCATATGCCAAAAGCCAACCAACTTCAGTAATCTCTTACTAGGCCTATTATGATTTTGGGTTGAGGAGCAAAATAGTGGATAAAGAAAATCTCTGCTCCTGGGGGTTCAGTAGCCCAAGGCCACAAACCCTACCTCTCCAGCCTCTGTAGAAGGAAAGGTGGGAACTTGTGAGGTGGATTCAGAGGCTGCAGACAGAGAAGAGTGAGTGGCAGAGGCAGAGCTAATTCAGAGTTAACCTTGCCCTCCCAACGAGTTACATGGTTTCCTTTCTCTGTCACTTTTCTAGAAACTACTTGTTCCCTGAGCTACCCTTTCTCTGGGTCTTTACCACCATAGTTCTTCTGGACATAACATCCATGTTTGTGATGTTGTATTACATACTTTATTAGTATGCAATGGAAGTCATTTATAAATCATAAAAAGATGTATAAACATAACATGTCTAAACCTAAATAAAACAATATAATTGTATTTCTCTAAAACCTTTTAAGGGATTAGCTTAGAAGGAATTTAGAAGCAGAAAGTGTTTCCAGAGCCTCGCCACATGTCCTGTGCATCCTGGCTTTGAGCAGACAGGTGTAGTTATGTCATAAGCGACTGCTCGTCTGGGGATCATGGTAAACCCTTAGCCTTCTCCTTCTCAAAGCAGCTGCTCTAGAAGGGAACTTGCCAAGTATATAAATAGTCTAACCCTTAGCAACTGGCATGTAGACAGGGTTCTTATGAAGTTACTGAAGAAAACAATCTTTGGGACCAGACCTGGGTTCAAATACCAGCCCTTGCTAGTTATGTTGACAGATGACTCTGTGTTCTCATCTAGAAGCAGGTGGTAGTGTTTAGCTTGTAATATAATAACAATAAAGGAAAGCTGTGTATCGTGTATATACATGGTAAGTTCTTGATGTTATTTCTCTTTATATCTGAGTGCATTTTCTCAAATCCACTTGAAGTTCTTCAGCAGTGGTAGAGGAGAAGAATCTAAGGGCCTGAACTTTGATTTCACTTGCACAATGACGAGGCAGGTCTGTGCCACAGTCTCCTAGTCTACACATGGAGGTTGGCTCGCAGGCTTGTGACGATCACGTGAGTTAATACAAAGCTGTGGGTGTCCTCTCGGGAGACAGGCTACAGTGCCTTGAGAGTACTCATCTTCCTTGTTACATAAACTCTTGTCAACTAGAGATGGGCCCCTAAGATCCTCTTGTCCTTGTCCTCATCACTGAGTAAGAAAGCAAAGATCCAGAACTATATATTATGGCGAGGAAGAGGTAACAATGACGTGGACTCCAAATCTAACCCCCTCCCTTTATAGCCTTTGAGGCTCTATAAATATTTATGCGTACTGGATAGAACTCGCTCTTCACAGGAACCCGCTGAAAGGCTAAAATAAGCCTAGAAACTGAATAATGCCTCTTTTTGTTTTATTTTATTATTTTCTTTTGTAGCAAATAAAAAGAAGGAGAAGGAGCGGCCAGAGATTTCCCTTCCTTCAGATTTTGAGCATACAATTCATGTTGGCTTTGATGCTGTCACAGGGGAGTTCACGGTGAGTCCTTGTGTTGGTCCTAGGGTTTGGGCTGTGTGCTGTTAGGTTCACTTCTTTCTCTTTTACTTTTCTTGGTTGGTTTGTGGCATTTGGGTTTGAAAACAAGGCCCTGCATGTGCTGTGCAAAGTCTTTACCACTGAGCTACGTCACCAACCCAAACAAATCTCCCGTAAGAGGTCCCATGATAGCAAGCCCTAGGTGGGGCACTAAATGCGGGAGTAGATCAGACTTGGTTCCTGCTCTAAAAGAGATGAAGCTGGTGATGGAGTAGCCCTCTCAAGGAAGATACATGAAGGAACTTGTGTAAATTTTGAGGGACCAGGGAAAGAGGTGACTAACGGGCTCATTTTTATCCGCTAGCAGACATCAAAGTGTGGTCTGATATTCTTCCAGGGTCCTCTGCATCCGTGTATTCCTGAAGCCCTTTCATGTCTTCCTTTTAGGGGATGCCAGAACAGTGGGCCCGCTTGCTTCAAACATCAAATATCACAAAGTCAGAGCAGAAGAAAAACCCACAAGCTGTTCTCGATGTGTTGGAATTCTATAACTCTAAGAAGACTTCCAATAGTCAGAAGTACATGAGTTTTACAGGTAAGAAGATTGTGTCCATGGTAACCCCAGCAAGAGAAGCTCTCAGGAGCCTGTTGGCGAGCAAGAGAAAAGGAAGTGCTGAGAGTTCTGAGGCATCACGAAGGTGTGGTTTGGAAACGGCGGCTGAGGCGAAGGCTTCTGTCTTGTTACTGTTCTGTTGCTCTTATAAAGGAAGAAACATTTTATTGAGGCTGGCTGAAGTTTCAGAGTTTTAGTTCCTTATTCACAGTGCGACATGGTGGGGTGCAGGCAGACACGGTGCTGAGGAAGGGGCTGAGAGTCTACATCTCTCTCAGTCCTCAGAGGTAGCAGAAGGAAACTGTTACATTGGGCCTAGCTTGAGCCTAGGAGACCTGAAAGCCTTCCTTTAGCAAGGTCACACCTCCCAATAGTGCTGCTGCTCCCTGTGGGCCAGGGCCGTACCTAATCCAAACCACCACGGCCTGTTTGTTTTCATTCTGAAGCTGCCTGTGCTATTTTTAGATGATGCATTTTGTGGGGGACGGGGGCATGCATGCCCTGGTGAGAACATGGAAGTAGGCTCTCTTTCCACCACGTGAGTGCTCGTGTTTGAACTCAAGGCCTCTGGTTGTCATTGCCATTATTTCTGATACTGTTACTTAATGACATTAGCAAGTATCTTTTAAGTCTCCTTTAAAAGACTCCTTTTGAGCTAGCTCAGGCTGGTTTAGGCTTAGAACTCATGGCAGTCTTTGAGCATCGGCCTTCAGAGTGCTAGGATTGCAGATATCAGTTCCTGCGTGAGTGACTAAGTTTTATCATTTGAATGAAAATCAGGTCAGTAGTAATTATAAATGTTCTTTATATGTACTTTCTGTGGAAGGGATTTTTTTTTTTAGAATGTTTTTAGTAGTTGAATTGGGATTAGAACTCAGGTCTTCTCACTCCTGGCCCCTTGTCTTTTGAATTACTTTGCCTCTAATAATTTTATTTGAAGCATGTCCTTCCATAGCAGAGGTAGTTTCCTTTTTCTAGACTAACTTATAATAAAAAGCTTGTATTTCTGGAAACTTGTCTTCTATCTGTTGGAAAGATTTGTTTATTCATGAATTTGTGTGATCTGCCTTCATGCACACAAGAAGAGACAGTCAGATCCTATTACAGTGGTTGTGAACCACCATGTGGTTGCTGGGAATTGAACTCATGACCTTTGGAAGAGCAGGCAATGCTCTTAACCACTGAGCCATCTCTCCAGCCCCGTGGTTTAATCTTGTAATCCCAGGTAGATGTAATACAGGAGGATTAGGAATTAAATGTCATTCTTTGCTATGTAGTAAGTTCAAAGCCAACCTTGACTATGTGAGACTTTGTCTCAGAAACAAATAAACCAGAAAAACACAACAAAAACAAGGGGAAAAATGAAACATTAGATCAAGAAGCATATATACACCAATTCCTCACTGTTTGCAGATGGGAAACACAGAGAAGGCCTCTGCAGTGTGCCTAAGTTAGCGTCAGGCCTAGTCTCGTACTTACTGTTAGCCTGGTGCTCTTGGTTTCTGCAGCCTCCTTCCGAGCAGAATTGTTGGAGAAGGTGAGAGTCAGGATGAACGAGCTGACTTCCCCAGCTAGTGTCTGGCTCGTATCAGAGGGTACAGATGGTCGGATGATGGGATGCAGCTCCGCTCAGGCTGCCACGGTAGCGCTCGGGAGAGCCCATGCGTCTTCCCAGCAGCCTTTCCCTCCTCTCCTCTGTGCCCACTGGGTCTGCTGTCTTCCTCTGAAGGATTAGATGATTCTTGGGAGGAACTGGGTGAGGTTGCTAAGTAGCCAAGTTTCCTAGTTGTTGGGAAATTGGAACTTCTGGTTAAGAACTTTATCACAGAGATATCATATTGGGATCTGTTTTCTATGTCCGTATGTAGATAAAAGGAAATTGCATGTATGTATGTGTGTATGTGGATCATTGCTCCTGTTGACTTGTGTGTGATTGAAATTATAGTCCCTTTAAGTGCTTACGAGTGGATATGTGTATAGCTATATACATTCAAATAATTACATATACAGTCATCTATGAATGCATACTTAAATTATAGTTATTGTATCTCTACAGATACATGCACATACTTTTATTTTGTGTATTAACATAGACATGTCTATGTGCACTTGGAGGATTTAAGATTTTCTGATTGCTAAAGACAAGGGCCAACTCTAGGCACAATTCTGTATTTGACAGATTATTTTTAATGTGATCCATCCCTTTTTCCTGTTTCCTCTTCTCCCATATTGTTAATTAAGCTATACTATATAACAGTTGTATGTGCTCTCCTGTGTCTTATCTCCTATGACTCTTATGTGGCGTACAAGGGTTGTCAGAGTAAAGGTTTGTTACCCCATTTTACACACTCAAAGAAGTAAATTAACCTTAAAGAAATTATAACTTGCTCATTATGATGCAAGTGATATGTTTCTTATTTTAGTTCCTTTTTTTTTTTTTTTTTTTGAAGCAGGGTTTCATTATGTAGTCATGCCTGTCCTCAACCTCAGAGAGAATCAATCCCCTGTCTCCCGAGTGCTGGGATTAAAGGCGTGCACCACTACATTGCCTTTGGAAGTGTGTTTTTACCTTAGGCTTCTCAACACTACTCTCGATAATCCACACAACTCTCTAGTCCCTATTATTGTTCTGGTTAAGTTTTCTGTGACTTTTGATTTTCCATACCAGTTAATGTTAGGGAGAAAGTAGACTAAGCTGATACCATTTTTTTTTTTTTTTTTGGAAAAACAACGCAAATTAATTATGTTTAAATTATGCCTTTGATTGATTTCTCCAGAGCTTAGCCATTTAGGGCTGTGGATCATTGTTACTGCTTTTATTTTATTTATAGCTAAAGTTTTGTTTTATCTGTGTGAGTTTTGCTATATGTTTGTGCATTGTATTCATGTGTGGTGCCTGGGGAGGCTAGAAGAGGTGGTCAGATCCCCTAGAACTGGGGTTAAAGTTGGGGTGCTGGGAACCAAACCTGGGCCGTCTGCAGAGAACAAGGTTTGCTTTAAGAACGTATCATAGATTGCTTCACTTCCGACTTTGTGGATTCTTTATTTGCTGTGGAGCCAAAGAACCTTCCTGGGCCAGTTTCATCCGATAGTACTGGGATCTCGAATGTTCTCCTTCTGGGTTCTTGATGACGGTTATGTCAGATTGGTAGAATGTTTTCCTGAGCCCACTGGTGATAAACTGGCAAATAAATTCTTAGGACTTAAAGAGGCAAATCAAAGACACTCCTAGTCTGTAAATCTCTTCTTTTCTGCTAAGGTCTTTTGTGGGACTCAGGAACACAGCATGGACTCCTTGCCTTTATCTCAGTGTCGGACATTTCCTTGACCATTGAGAACTCACGATGTGGGTGCTGTTCCAGCATGGTACTCAGAATTAGATCAGAATTCAGGTTGAACCATCAGTTTAACTTGTGTACACTGGGCAAATCATTAAACGTCTCTCAGTTATCCAGTCTACTAAAGTGAATATAGCATTAATACCCAGAGCCATGGTAGAGGCTAACGGAGCTGATAGGGATGATGTGCCCAGCGTGGCTTCTGCTCACCATTACCGTCCTCTGGAGCTGGCAAGTGCTTGGTCAGACCCATCTCCTTAGCCCTCAGGAAAGGGTTAACTCTGCTTGTTTACTAAATCCTTTGTCTCTCTTCTTTCTCTAGACAAGTCAGCTGAAGATTATAATTCCTCCAACACTTTGGTAAGTTTATGTTTCTTCCATTCTGGCCTAAGTGGGTGTGGAAGTATGGCTCCAGAGAGTGTGGTAAGGCTGAGCTGGACGTGGAGACTCTTACCTCGGTCAGTGCTGCGCTTTAATCTCTTCCCACAGTGAAGGAGCTGGAATGGTGGGCAGAGTTGTCTCTACAGGACAGTGTCTCTCTTCCAGCTTTCCGGTGTTGTCGAAATTCTAACCTTGAAGCCAGAAAGTGTAGCTTTTAGGCGGTTTCATTTGTAGGTCTGAACACTGGGAAACCCAGTTTGCCTTTCTGTGGCTCAGATTTTTCCACAGTCAAATGAGAATGATACATTTTCCCTTGGACTGGATGTGTTTAGGAAGGAATCTCTGCTCTTTCATCAGTAAGGCCTGCTCATCCAGAGGGCACAGATTCTGTTTAGTTAAGAGCAGCCTTCTCCCCTCTGGGGCTCTGATAAAGTTCTGTGAAGGATTGTGGGAGGGATCACTGAAGAATTGACTTGGAAATGTACCTAGATGACCTTAAAAAGTCCCTCTATGTCCCTCATTTTAAAAATTGCATTTTTCATGACGGTTATGAATAAAAATGAGATGCTGGTATCTCTGTCATATTAAGAATAACACTTGGTCATATAAATAGTTAGCTGTGAGTCTTATAAGAGAGTAGTATTCTTCATATGGGTGTTATCTTTTATAGAAAACTGTTTATAGCCAGACTTGGTGGCCACACCTTCACAGACTAAGGCAGAAGAATTAAAAGTTTGAGTTCATTTTGGGCTGTCGAATGAGTTCAAGGCCTGCCTGAGCTACTTACAGAAACTCTGTCTCAAACAAAAAGTTAAAAGCTGTCTGGGTACGTAGATGAGTGGTGGAGTCCTTGCTTGTCATGTGAGAGGCTGTAGATTGCATCCCCAGAACTGCAGAAAATAAAAGAAAGGTACTTACGCCGTATTGATTTATCAGACGTTTACAGAAGCCCCTGTTCTTTGTCAGGCCCTGTGTGGAGCCGTCAGACAGTCTTACAGAGGATAGGAAGGCACATGCATTTACAGTTCAGTGCGCTATAAACATCATGAGGTCAGGATCTATGTCTGTCTTATTAATTGATTTGTCTTTGGCGCTTAGCAAGTTCTGACATTTGCTAAACATTTATTGAATGAAAAGTTGGATGTGTCAATGAACACATCTCGTTATTTAGAGCAAGAATTGGAGAGCTGAAGATATTTCAGATAGAAAATTATATGCGTGGGGGAAAGAGGTTCAGAAGGTATGTGTATTCTGGGAACTGCTCGTAGTTTGATATGTCTGGAATATAAAAATGTGCCGGAAGAGAAGTTGGCGGTGAGGAAGCATGGGAAAATAGGCCAAGTCAAGTAGGAGTTTGGCTTTCTGTAAAAGGTAACGAAAGTTTAAAGGGTTTTGAAGAGGAGGGTAGAATAGAGCACAGGACTGAGCCACTGAAGCCTGGCTGGCAGCAGTCATTTTCCCTGTTGGCAGTTACAGAAAGAGCAGCGAGCCAGCCTGGTGCTTTGCAGTGTCTTGGGTCCTTTCTTATTCATTATCTCTTTTGTTTTTCACAGCAGTGTAGTGAAGCAGACTGTAGCCCTCGCTTTATAGGTGATAAAGCTGGGACAGAGAGAGGTTAACCGCCGTACACATTCGGTTCCTCCGCTGCCCGCTTTCCTCCCGTTCCTGCTGCGTAGCGCCGGCTGGAAGAGCTGTGTTTAAACGACAGGGAACGTTTGCAACTGCACTGTCTGCGAACAGTGAATTATTGATCAGTGGATTATTGAAGGAAGGGGCTCAACATAGTGGAGCTGTGGCCTGTGGGTCAAGCGCCTTCATGCTTTATAAGAAGAGGGTGTTATCTATTATTTAGTGGCTGCTCTGCGCCAGCCGCTGTGTTAATATCTTCATCCTTAGCGTAATTAATCCCCACAGGTACCTGGGAGGGCGGTGCTGCTGTCCTTCTTTCCTGGGCAGAACAACAACCCTTCCTAAAGACTCACACTAAGAACCATTTTAGAAACCAGTTGTGGAATCAGCCTGTAAACCCAGCACTTGGGAGGTGGAGGCAAGAGGACCAGAGATTCAGGGTTGTCCTTGACTACATAGTAATTGGATTGGCCTAGGTGACGTGAGACCCTATCTCAGAAAACAAAACAGTTCCAGGGCGGCCTAGATTCAGAGTGAGTGTCAGGGCAGCCAAGGCTACACAGAGAAACTCTGTCTCAAAAAACCAAAAACACAAGAAAGAAAGAAAAGAACTAGAATCCCCTGAATCTCATGTACTCCAGGCTTTTTTTCCCCTTTACTGTGTCAGGGAACAGAGAAAGACACAGAAGGTCTTTAAAGGTGACTGCAGTAAGCAGCAGCCATGGTGTTGGTGTAGGAGAGCCCCGTGGCTCATGCCATATGGCTTGGAGGATGACACCTGCCTGGTTAGTATCTACAATTAGAACCGCTCAGACGGTCAAGGACATATTTCCCCAGAACTCCCTGTTCCGTATTTCCTTATTAGTCGCACACTGAGGATGTGATTTTATCATGCTGGCTTCTGTGCTGGCTTTTATACATTGTTTCTTTTCACTTATGAAGTAATCAAGCAGAATTACTATCTCTATGTTATAGATTAAGAAAATGTGGCACAGACAGATTATGAGTTGTTCATAGAATGAGTCAGTTAAAAAAAATTCCATTCTCCTGGACATTCATGTGTTTACTCATTTCATAAATACTTCCTCATCATTTTCTTTGTGGCAGAGCGAATGTGTCTGCCTAGACCTTGAGGAGAATCTGATAGTAACCTGGGGAAATAGGAGCCGAAGGAGAGGGTTGCAAGAACAATGCACATTCGGGTCATATTTGACTTGTGGTTTGTTCTTTCTGATACTTGAGGGAAGTTTACACACGAGGTCCTAGAGGTTTGCTCATTTAGCAAACATGATCTTGTCGATCTCTTTCAGCTTGAAACATCATTATCTGTGTCTGGGATCTGTGGTATTTTTATGGCTGACTCTTATTTGTAGAATTCATACTATCCAGGTGTGGTGGTGCATACCTGTAGTCTTATTCAGGGGGCGGAAGCAAGAGGGTCATAATAGGGTCAGGCGTTTGGAAGAAGGGAGACTGGGAGGGATGGCTGTTTAGACCCCTGGTTACAATGATAAAGTATAGAAAATTCAAAACTCTTTTTTTCTTTCTGTTTATTTTCTACTCATTATAAAGAGTGAAATTTATAAACTAAGAAGAAACTGAAGTTCTAAGGATTTGATTGTAGGAGGCAGGCAGGGGATCTGTAAGCTGACCACAGTTCCACAGCTTTAGGTGGGAAAAGGAAGCATCCAGAGTGCGTGGATATTGATGACCACACAGAAGTGGAGACTCTGAGGCCAATGAGGCTTTCCTAAGGGGGGTGGGGGGCCAGAATTGAGTTCCTTCTAGAAAACTAGCAGACCCAGTTTCTGAAGTTCTTTGTCCTTCAGACCAGATAATTTTGTCTTTTCTGTATAGAATGTGAAGACTGTGTCTGAGACCCCCGCGGTGCCGCCGGTGTCGGAAGATGAAGATGATGACGATGATGCTACCCCACCTCCAGTGATCGCTCCTCGCCCAGAACACACAAAATCTGTGAGTCTGGTAATCTGGAAGGATGTATGGTTCATTCAGATAAGAGGCGGATGGCGGTCCTTCAGCTCGGAGTCCAGTGTAAGGGGTCCATAGACCTCAGAGCTGGTACAGTCGCTGAACTACGTTTGTTTCTCCTCTCCTGTTTCGAGACAGCTGCTCACTGTGTAGTCCAGACTGGCCTTGATTTAGTGTGCTCCTACCTTACTCACCCAGTTGCTAAGGTTACAGGCACGTGCTGCGATACCCAACCAGACCACTAATTTGAAGGCATTTCCTGTATGATTAGAGTAGTGGATTTGTTACTTCGGCTCTTCCTAAAGTCCCCTAGGTAATTGGTGTTTATGCTGGTCTAACCTCAGCTGCGTTCACACTGGTCTAACCTCGGCTGCTCCCTTGGCCTTTGCAGATGTGACAGGGAGATGATATGGAGAATTGATGCATTTTATTACATAAATTATTCCAGTCTTTTAGGGGGCAGGAAATTATCTTGCCAAAGGTTTTTTTCTTTTAAGGTAAATATGCAGTGTTTAGCTCCTCCAGCGTCTTTGACGATGCTGACAGACCCAGGGGAGTTTATAAATACATTAGTGCTATTAATACGCTGGGCATTAGCAGTGCATTCTGATGCCGGATGCTGGTAGTGATTTCTCCCTTAACTTCCTCTGAGGTTCCTGCATTTCAGAATAGCTTCCGTCTCTCCCGCGCTTGGCAGACTCGTGTGTTTGCCTTTTATTTGATTTAGTATCACTGAGCGGTGCTCGCCCGTCAGATGGTTCTCTGAAACACTACTGATGTTGTCTCGGCTTTTTATTATGAGGAGAACTCCATAATGAAAGAACCATTAGGGCTTAAGCTCTGTGCTGATTGGATGACTAATGGAAGATGCTGTGGAGGAAATCCAATTAGACGACCTGCCTCTTAGCCTGAGAACCTACAGAGAGAATTGTCGGATATCCTTGTCTGTGGGTCAAATTCACCTTTAGGAAAATAGCCTTCTAAATCAGTGAGCTGTCAATATTTTCCATTGATGTGTCCTGTTTGTGGTTTGTAGGCAAATTTATTTAAAATACTTTTCTCTCTAAACTTTTAATTCTCATTCTCTCTCTCTCTCTCTCTCTCTCTCTCTCTCTCTCTGGATCATCTATCTATGTGTGTTATCTATCTTTTTAATACCTGATATAGTTTTTGACACAGGGATCATAGAGAAGGCAGTAAATATTGAATAAAAGAATAGATTGATAAATTTGCTTTTCTTAGCATTCTTCTCTGAAAAATATATCACTAGTTCCTAATTTATAGAAGAAGCAGGTGAGATATAGAGAGGTGAATTGGTCTACCCACACTTAGCAAGCAAAAGCCAGGTTTGAAAGCGGATAATTAAATCCAAGTCCAGGTCACACTCCACAGTAACACATATACCACATTTGTGTGTAGACCTACACTGAAGCCAGTTAAGGATAATGTTATAGAGGGAACAGACAGGATATCTTTCCTCAAGGATCCATAGATAGAGAAGCAAAGAAGGTTAAAATACCCGGGGTGTAATTGCTCTACAGGTTCAAAAATAAAAATTGAGAAATCATTTTTCTGGAGTGGTCAGAAAGCCAGTCTAGTTGAAAGATCTGATTCTCCAGACTTTTACTGAGAGTTGTCTAACTAAGGCCGCCACTAACCATTCTTGTACTATGAAAGTGATACAGGCCATTTTACCCAGGGCAATAGGCTGGGTCTCATAGGAGAAATAATACAGGTTTTGACGTATAAGAAAGACTGATCTGGGAAGTGGGAGGTTCCTGGGGATATTCTAATTGGAACATCTAGAAGAGGGTCTACTACGCTAACAAAAGGCTGGTTTTGTCAAAAATCTCCCGGTGATTGTGCAGGTATATACACGATCCGTGATCGAACCACTTCCTGTTACTCCAACTCGGGATGTGGCTACGTCCCCCATTTCACCTACTGAGAATAACACTGCTGCGCCAGATGCTTTGACCCGGAATACTGAGAAGCAGAAGAAGAAGCCTAAAATGTCCGACGAGGAGATCTTGGAGAAACTACGTAAGCACGTTACAGCTTTTTTGATCCTTCCTTTGGTCTGTGGCTGCTCAGTCGTTGATGTGGAACGCTGCTGTAAAGATCTGGATCCTAGGTTTCCGCCATGTCTCTGGTAGGCCCTGTGTAGCGCCAGCGCTATGGAGCCCACTGCTCACCATCTGAACTTTGACCTTCTGTATATCCCCAGCTCTGGGTGTGCACTGCCTTAGGATACACAGGGACGTAATAGGAGAGAACGTGGGGTATATGATAAGTAGCTGTTATTAGTGGATAGTCTAGAGTATCACATGGAGAAAGATTGAGGTATTGATTCTGCCTGGTGGCAAAGACTGTTCTTGTCGATGTCTTGCTAAGGAGAAGACCGCTTTGCCATCGTGGATGTAGAAAAAGAAGGAAAGAGAAAACAATGTTTATGAACCTGTACTGTGTAACAAATGACAAGCAAGAAAGATACTTTCTTGAATTTTTAAGTTTTTTTTTTTTATAGTAACTCTGTGAAGGTACCCATGATAACCTTCATTTCTGAAGTTAAGGTTTTTTAGACCCAAAGATTCTAAATACCGGGCCCTGGATCACAGAGCTGCACAGGGGGCAGCTGAGGGCAGATCGAGCTGGGATTCTGTAAATAGGATGTGTATTGACTCTTACAGTCAGGTATAGTTGTTTTTGGAAGAATCATTGGAAAAGGATTTGACGTGACTGGTTTGACCAAGCCTGTAAGCTTACATTGCTTTCTAAAGCTGAGGTTTCTGGTTCCTTAGTTTAGCAACTTCCTGTTTCTTCTAACAATTCTTGTTTGACCTTTTTTATTTGTTTGTTTGTTTAGTTAGCTGTCTTAAAAGAGTTGCCCTTGAACTAGGTGGTGGTGGTGCGCCTTTGTAGAGCAGGCAGATCTCTGTGAGTTCGAGGCTAGCCCGATCTACAGAGCTCATTCCAGGACAGCCAGGGCTGTTACAGAGAGAAACCCTGTCTCCAAAAACCAAACCAAAACAAAACAAAATGAAGCAACAACAACAACAAAAAAAAAAAGAAAGAAAGAAAGGAAGAAAGAAAGAAGGAAAGAAAGAAAGAAGGAAAGAAAGAAAAGAAAAACATAGTTGCCCTTGCTAGGGCCTTCCTGTGCTGAGGTAAAAGCCACTCCCTGGCTTTGTGTGTACTCAGAAGGTCCCCTTACAGTAAATACAATGTGTTACAGAAAGCAGACTGCCCCGGACAATTTCCTGCTGTCTTTGAGCCTCCTTACCCCCTCACACCTTTTAACTGATTTATTTCAAATTGAAGTACATACAGTGTATGTCAGAAGTACCAGATCCTAGTGAGTGAGGTATCAGTGGAAAAGCTAATTGCATTGAGAGCCGGGAAACCAAACTCTGAACCTTAGCTCTGGCGCCAGTTTACTGTATGGCTTTGAGGAAGCATCTTCCCTCTGTGGGTGCAATTCTCTGCCTCCAGAATTCATGTGTGAGACCCATGGGCTCTCTCATGCTTCTGTGCCTTTGATTTAAACTGTCCCCTGCTACAGAACTCTCTTGGCCTTCTTAACCTCCCTGAGTTGTACTCATAGTAAAGTCAGCCCGGGGTAGAGCCTTTCTGAAACCTTTCCAGCCTGTTTCTCTCCCTCTTCTCTGTCCCCTGTGCTTCAGCATTCATCACAGCAGTGCTCTGGAGAGTAACGACTGTCTTAAATGTACCTCGTCTTCCTCTTTCTTTCCAGCACTCAGCATAGAGTCTGGTAAACGTAACAAACGAGTAAATGTTTAATGAGTTAATTTAAAGTGAATGAGTGGCTCTTAGAGGTTTAGAAATGGAATAAAATACTATGAATAAACACGATCAAAGATACAAGACTTTTGGTTGTAGCCAGGTGATGGTGGTGCATGCCTTTAATCCCAGCACTCAGGCACAGCCAAACGGATCTCTGTGAGTTCGAGACCAGCCTGGTCTACAAAGAGAGTTCCAGGACAGCCAGGGCTGTTACACAGAGAAACCCTGTCTCAAAACAAACAAACAAACAAAAACAAAAAGGGCCGGGGGTAAACAATTTCTGGTTTGGACTTACTGGGGGGAAGTTAATGGTCTGGTTAGGCTGCTTTGGGGGAACTTGGCACAGTTCTATAAAACTTGTCAACTTGGGGGTTTAAGAGGATCGTGGGATCTCTTGTGAATCTTAATCTGGAACAAAATGATTTATGGTTTCTGTTTCTTTCAAAGGGAGCATAGTGAGTGTGGGCGATCCTAAGAAGAAGTACACACGGTTTGAGAAGATTGGACAAGGGTTAGTAGGGCATTCTGTTTCCTCGGAGAAATGACTTAAGATTGTATGTACTGGCTTATATGAATTTACTTGGTTTTTTTTCTTTTGTCTCTCATCAACCTTGTTCTTTTTTACTTTTTTTCACCTATTTGTTACATTAGAATGACTTCCAAATTTTGCAAAATTGTACTTTATGAGAGATGTGTTATGATCTGGCCATGCTGAAGTAGCCCTGCAGCAAGAGTAAATGAGACCTGTTTTTTTTTTTTTTTAAGCATAAATGAAACCAGCTTCCCGAACTATAAATGATTTTCCATATTAGCTCTGTTTGCCTTAGTACTGAGACATGCCATCACTCATATGAAATTTAAGATTCAGATATGTAGACTTTCTAGTAATGGGATGGGACCTATTTTTCCTAGGTGGATGACAGAATTCATGACTTTACTCTCCAGGTTCATCTCTACAACCTATATTCTGTCCTATCAGCAATGAACTCAGCACATCTTAGCTGAGTTTTTGTGTGTTGAGGAGAGTGAATTGGCTATGAATCTGGCAGTCTCTGTCCTCAAGGATCTCAAGTCAGCCAGAGATAGAAAGGCAGAAGAATTATAGTGTAGAAGTCTCTCTTTGACTGGAAGGAGGTCAAGTGGGACAAAGAACGAGGGAATGTTGGGACTAGAGAGATGGGTCAGTGGTTAAGAGCACTGACTGCTCTTCCAGAGGACCCAGGTTCAATTCCCAGCACCCGCATGGCAGTTCACAAATGTCTGTAACTCCAGTTCCAGGGGATCCATCACCTATGGCAAAACATCAATTTTTTAAAAAAAGATCTTTGAAAGAGGGAATGCTGCAAGAAGCTTACGTAGTTGTGAACGTAAGTCATATACATACCTCAAAACCAGGTTGTACAATTAAAGCTTAATGCACAAAAACTTAGGTAAATGTACCTAATATGAAATGTAGAGTGAAAATAATGAGTTTCTATGACTATGCCTTCAAAAAAAAAACCCTATTAAATTTAAAAGAAACTAAAAAAATTAAGTTCGGTTCATACTAGGCTCTCAGTAGAACAAAGCATTGTTAATAATTGAAATTTTTTGTCTTAATTTTCTTAGTCTAACAATTTTCTGAAAATGTGTTAATGAGTTGTAAAATATGGGGATAGGTGATCTTTTGCATAGCATTTTATAATCTATATCTGTTACTTACATTGAGTTTTAATTTGATCCTCAAATCAACTTTTGTCTGAGCAGATGTCATTTTTCCTGATCCAAGTGTCTTTTCCACTAGAGTTCTAAACTGGTAGAATATAGCTTGCATATTGAGAAGAAATTATTTTCTTTGCCTCAATAGTGAAGATAGCATTTTTGTTTTTAGGTAATTGAATTGAGTTATTTAAGAATGTAGCAAAAAGGGCTCATGGGCAAATTTCAGCTAGTTGGATTCCTCTGGGTTTGAGCTTCTTTATCTGTAAATTTGGAGGATTGTGGATTAAGGACGTTTCTCCTCTAAAACATGCCTTTTAAAAAAATAGATGTACAACCCAGACACAGAAAGACAATTATCACATGTTCTCACTCATAGGTGGGTTTTAAACATAAAGCAAAGAAAGCCAACCTCCAAAGCACAATCCCAGAGAACTTAGACAACAATGAGGATCCTAAGAGAGACAAACATAGATTTAATTTACATGGGAAACAGAAAAAGACAAGATCTCCTGAGTAAACTGGGAGCATGGGGATCTTGGGGGAGGGTTGAAGGAGGAGGAGAGAGACAGGGGAGCAGAGAAAAATGTAGAGCTTAATAAAAAATCAATAAAAAAATAGCTGTACAACATCTATGAAAGGTTTTTTTGCTTTATCTCACAGTTCTGCTAGGGCTAGGCAAGAATGAAATATTTATTAAGCACTTTTGTTAACGTTGTATTCCATAATTTAAACAGTGCCCCACCAGTTGGATGTGTTGGTTTGGTACTGTTATAATTTAGGTTTACTTCCCTTTCTAAGACCTGGAGACTGTTAAGCCGTCTGGTCTTGTATCTGTGATAGAAATCATGCCCTACCTGGTCTGCCCATGTAGCTTTCTAAAACTTTGTTAAACACACGGAAGATAAAATCCCAAATGTTTAGTCTCTGAGACGCGACTCTGTTTGCCCTCTAAGGATGGTGTCTATATGGTAGCTGGAGAGATAACTCGTGGTTGAGAGTAGGTTCGTCTCCTGTCCCCAACATGGTCCTTACAAACATCCGTAATTCCAGTTGCAAGAATCCCATTCACACTTCTGCCTTCCCAGGGACTAGGCACACACACACACAGTGCACAAATGTACGTGTAGGCAAAATACTTATACAGGTAAATATTTAAGAATTTTTTTTTTTTTTAAAAAGAACGGTATAAATTGGCAGGAGTGCAGAGGGCTAGGGCCAGGAAGATAGACACACATTCTGTGACTAAAGCTCTCTCGGCAAAGCTGGCCAGGCAGTAAAGGAATAGCTACCAGGGAGCCTTCCAGACCTCAGATGATAGCCAGATCATGTAATTTCCCTTGACATGCCTGTGGCTCGGTTGCCAAGGAGCGGTGGTGAGGCTGTGGGGACCATAGTTCCAGCTGCAGGCATTTTCCAGCCGTCTTTTCCTCTTGAATTAACCTGACTTCTGTGGGACGCATAACTTCTGGATTTGCTGGGAACATCTTATAAAAGACCAGAATTTAAAAATGTCTGCAAATTGCACCATATATACGTGACATATGGTATGTATAATGGTGTGTATAGAACACAAATTGTCTAGACATATATAGGATTCGCGATTTTAGGCATAAGATGAAGGTTTTAATTGTTCCCTATAGATAGTGTTATATAGCATTATTTCCACCCATCTCTTCCACTTACCCCATCTCTTTCTTTGACTGTGTCTAATAAATACCTACATATTTGCATGCTTTGGAGCAAGTCTTACTTTGAGGATGAGGTGGAAATAATCTCAAGATTTTCTAGAAGTACGTATGTTTGGAAAAGTGTGTGCAGTATCATTTTATTTTTGAAAAAAACTAAAAATGCATTTCATTTAAACCGTAGGAAATGAAACTCTTGATCAGTTACGGTTGAAAAGTGATTTTAAAGTATCCTTTAATGCAGAAGAGAAGGATACTGCGGGACTATTTTAGGCTATTCAGTGTGGGTTGGCCAAGTTTTCATAGTTTTTAAAAATCAGTTATACTTTTTAAAGATTAGCTGTGGAATAGAATCTAAAAAGCTGAATATTGATTCTTGGAGCTAGCTGTCCCCTACCATTTTTTTTAGGGTCTTGCCCCTCTTCCTCCCTTGGCTTACTGAGTTACAGGATTACAGGCAGACACTACCAAAACAGGCCATAGTTGTAGTTTTTAATGTAAAATTTAAAAGAAGGTAGCACACATAAGTATATTGCTCAGGGAATTTTCAAAACGTGAATACACGAGTGTAAAGCTGCATCCAGGTCAGTAAAGAGAACACTGATACTCTGAAAGTCCAGATTTTAATAAATATGTTTAAGCCATCTCCCCACCTCATTCTGACCTGCTCCTTGGTCTCCATTTCCCACCCCTCGCTCCCAGTCGAAGGTGTAAGAAATGAAAGCGAGTCCTCAAAGGTAGCAGAGAAGAGGAGGGCAAGCAGGTGTAGGAGATGAATGTCTGAACTCTTGGTCCATGCTTCACTAAACTACGTACGTGTACAGGTGAAGCTCAGAGTCACACGTCGCTTGAGACCAAACAGTAGGAGTTCTCGATTGGGTGAGGCCTTCCTTCTTCACGGCCACACACTGCCTTTCAGATGTGAGAGTGGGCCTTGCAGAGGAGGTTTTACCTTCGCTGCTCTTGTTAGTGTATTTCCAGGTTGTGTGTCAGCTGCATAGACAAATCCTGCATCGCTGAACACCCGTGTTTATTTTCCTCCCTTTCGCTGTCTTTTCTTCAGTGCTTCGGGCACGGTGTACACTGCGATGGATGTAGCCACAGGACAGGAGGTGAGTATTCACCACCAGCTAACTGTTGGGCTTCTGCGGTGTTTGGTTTTAATGTGGAGTTAATCTTACCCTTTCCTCCTTCCCTCCCTGCCGAGCCTCTCTTCTCTCTCTCTCTCTCTCTCTCTCTCTCTCTCTCTCTCTCTCCTTCCTTCCTTCCTTCCTTCCTTCCTTCCTTCCTTCCTTCCTTCCTTCTTTCTTTCTTTCTTTCTTTCTTTCTTTCTTTCTTTCTTTCTTTCTTTCTTTCGTNTTCTTTCTTTCTTTCTTTCTTTCTTTCTTTCTTTCTTTCTTTCTTTCTTTCGTTGTTCGTTCGTCTCTCCCTTCTTTCCTCCCTCCTGCCTTCCTTCGTCTTTCCTTTTCTTTCTTGTCTTTCTTTTCTTTCCTCAATGGGAGATTTCTAGCTTCTTTCTGTACCATGCTAGGCTCAAATAGTAGACTAATATGAGACTTAAAATTTTTGCAAAGTCTTCCAAAGACCAAGTGTGGAGAGCAGGTGAGAGGAGGAAGAATGGACCATGTAAGCCAGGAGACTGTTGTGAAAGATGATGTCATAGGAGTACGTAGACCTGAGAAGTAGTTAGCAGTGACTTGGTCTAACTCAGCGGTAGAAGGTGAAGGCAGCTTCCAGGTGTGCAGTACTGTCCAAGGAGAAAGAATAAAGTCAGAGGCCTAAGTATAGCAGACGTAGATACTGCCTGAGATCTTACTGAACTGCCTAGGTAGAGGAGATTTAAACCCATGGCTGTCAGCTTCTAATCTAGTAACTTCCAATTCTGCTCCAGATTCCACTGGACTTTGGGGCCCTCATTTATTTGGAGGTACCTCTTGGTCCTTATTTTATTAAGCCATGAGAACACTGGCCTTATTGCTAAAGCCCTCTGACCCAAGATCAACAAAAGGAAACCATGAAGCGGATAACAAGTAATTGGAGGCTCCTTGTAGACGGCTCCTTGGCTGGCTACAGCACAGGAACGCTGGCAGGGGGTCGCAGTTAGTGTCGCCTGGGAGAAATGTTTAGTTAAAGGAGTACTGGAACTCAGAAACAGAGAGAACCTCTCAGTTATGTTTCTCTGAGAGAGGCTGCCCGGATCTACTTGGATGCTTTTGATCATCAAAATCTCGTACTCTTGAGGGACAGCACATATTTTCTTGGCTTCTTGTTAACTTTTTAGAAGTGTAAAAGTCAAATACTGATGTTGTGCGAGAGTGAGTCAATTCTCAAGATCACCAGTATGGGAGCTGGAGAGATGGCTCAGCAGTTAAGAACACTGGCTGTTTGCTTCTCAGTTGGGTGACTTGCAACAGCCTGTACCTCCATCTCTAGGGGATCCAACACCCTCTCCTGGCCTCAGCAAGCACTACACTCATGTACATAAACTCATACACAGATACAAACATAATACGCATAATTAAAAATGAGATCTTAGCTGAACAGTGGTGGCACACACCTTTAATCCCAGCACTCAGGGATGCAGAGGCAGGCGGATCTCTGTGAGTTTGAGGCCAGCCTGGTCTACAGAGTGAGTTCCAGGATAGTCAGGGATATACAACAGAGAAGCCCTCTCTCGAAAACAAAACAAAAATCTTAAAAAAATAATTAAAATCCTTATTATAGTTAAGAATTAATTGAGGTGGCTAGAGAGATAGCTCAGCAGTTAAGAGCACTGTCTGCTCTTCCCGAGGACCTGGGTTCAATTCTCAGCACCCACATGGCAGCTCACAACTGTCTGTAACTCCAGTTCCAGGGGATCCAACACCCTCACAGATATACACACAGGCAAAACACCAATGCACATAAAATCAAAATAAATAAATTATAAAATAAAAGAATCAGTGGAGAAGTTAAAGACATGGGTGCTTGCCTAAAGTTATTTCTGTTAGCTTGGGTGAACTGTTTGACCTTTTTCTGCCCAGATGGTCTGAGTTAGAGTTAAGTCTCGTGTGCTTTGGGCTGCAGCGTCACAGCAGAACTAAGGGTAGGTGTTAGGGACTTCACCTACCATGTTCCTGGTCTCTTGGGCCTTGTAACCGTTGAAGGAAGACAGACAGGTGATGGTTGAAGCCCTGGAGAAGACAGTGTGAGAGCGGGGCCACAGGAAAGAGAAACTTGACTTTGCTGTGCGCTTGTCTCGTGGTGAAAAAGCTGTGAATAGAAGCAAATCCATTAGCGTGGCTAACGCAGTGTGGTCAGGACGGCCTCGCTTCCTGCCCGGGGGAGTCTAAATCTGTGTGAGGCCAGAGTGAGCTCTTCGTCTTTGTGAATGATGATGAGGGTGTTCTCCAGCTCGAAGAGGGGAGTTCCTGTCCGACCCATATAGATGGATAGCACTGAGTGCTGGGAAATCTTCCCGTTAGAGATCAATCACTTTTCAAGCTTATTTTTAAAGGTAATGTGTTTAATAGCAAGAACGATTGGAGGAGCTTTAGGAATTGTATTGGTCTGAGAGCTGCGATCATGATGATAGGCGGTTTTCTTACGTGCCTTGGCTTTGGGTCTGCACCTGAAAATGCAGTGTGTTCCTTTGAAGGGTTGTTGGATTTGGCTTTGATAAGCACAGCAGGAAGCGTGGTCCTCATTCTCGCTGTTCTGTGCCAGGTGCTGATCAGATGTGGGACTACCGTGCTGATCCTATTCATATCTGGCTGCCTTTATTACTTAAATCTTTGACTTACAAGTGAATGACATGTCTATTTTTTCTGTACTCAAAATATATTTTGACTCAAAATAGAAATCAAAGTAGAATCATAGTTATTATTTTCACTACATTTATAAAGAGATTTAGGTTCATAAAACTAGCGATTAGTCAAATTCGGAAATTGACAGTCACACCTAAAGCTTAGATCTCTTAGGTCAAGTTCAGTTTTCCTCTTTTATAGGAGTGGTATTGCCTGTCCTGGATGGACAGGGTTTTATTAGGTCAAGGCCTGTAGGCAGAGCCCTCAAGCCCAGCAGAGGTGGCATAAGAGGCTCTTGGTATCCTGCCCTAGCCTCTGTTTGCCTTCTCCCTTGCTGCTGCCTCTGATGACCACAGGGAGGTTCACAAGCACTCGCTCATCCTCCAGGGTGGCCTAAGGAGTGCCAAAGGGACTCTAAAGGCCCCCGTCCTCGTCATAAGGGCTTACTTAATATGTACAGCCGATTAATGTGTCCGTTTGCAGCCAGTAGGAAAAAGTACTCCTCGGCCGTTACAGAGAGATGCTGTGGGCCCTGAGGCCTGACCTGCTGGGAAACCCCTTTCCAAACAGTTCATCAGGGCTAGAAACGGAAGAGGTCAGATGCTTAAATAAACATTTTTAAAGATTTTTATTATTCTTGTGTGTGTGTAAGAGAGAGAATGTGAGTGTGTGTGTGTGTGTGTGTGTAGGAGAGGGGATGGCATGCCCATGACCGTGATAGCCATGGTAGGAGGTCAGAGGGGACGGCATGCCCATGACCGTGATAGCTGTGGGAGGAGGTCAGAGGAAAGCTTGAAGGGGTCTGTTCTTTCCTTCTGTCATGTGGGTCACAGGAATCAAACTTAGGTTGCTAGGTTTGGCTGCAAGAACCTTGGTCCACTGATCCATCTTGATGGCTCGTAAGAATTATTTTTATTCTTAATCATTAACTGAGCCTCTTCAGAAGAATATATTGGCTCCAAGTGATATTTGGCTTCAAAATCTCTGCATCTTCATTTTTTAAAAATTTTTACTCATTTTTGTGTGTATAGGTGTTTGCCCTGCATGTATGTCTGTGTACCTGGAGCCCAAGGAGCTCAGAAAAAGACACTGGGTCACTGGGAACTGGAGCTAGATAGTTAAGAGCTGCCATGTGGCTGCTGGGAATTGAACCAGGTCTTCAGCCATCTTAACCCCTGAGCCAGTCTCCAGCCTGCATCCTTCAGTCTTATTACTGCTTCTAGAAAGTGGTTCTGTTGGCTGTCATATTCTTGTCTACCGAGCAAGGAAAAGAGAGACTATCTCTAGGGAAAAAATATTTAACAAACAGTGTAACCCTGTGGGGTGTAGTGGTGTGTGCGTGTATTTGTGTGTGTACGCGCACTCGTGTAAACAAAGAAGTTACTGACTTACTGCTTCTCTCTCTCTAAGCACCAGCTTTATTTGTTGAGCCCTGTGCTTGACACTGGGGTTTTGAGTTTTTATTTAAGCTCTGAAATGTCTAGATACATTCATGCATGTACAGACATACATACACAGACACACACATACACAGGCACACACACATACACAGACACACACACACATATACAGACATACATAAATTCATATCAAGTGGCAGGAATAATATGATCTTACAGGACTTTCCTAAAAGGGGGAAACACACACAGTCAGTTTGAGAATGAAGTCTCCTTTGCCATCGTACCACGCTTCTGAGTGTGTAAAAGTGAGACGTCTATTCCAGAGAGAGGTGAGCTTCAGCGAAGGCAGGGAGAACATGGAGCATGTAGTACAGTGGGAAGTCACGGTGAGGAACTTGAATGTCGAGCCGAGGAACACGTCTAGGCAAGCAAGAGCCATTTTGCTTACAGATGGGAAGACCGGTGTGTATGGGGTCGGTAGACCAGTCTATGTTAGCAGGATAAATTGAGACAAAGTGCCTTTTACATGTATGTGTGTGTACATGCCTTAGACAGTTAAACTATGAAGCCAGGCTGGTCATCCATGTACAATTCTATCTCAGCCTTGTGGGTGTTAGGATATAGGTAGTAACAACCCTACCTAGTGATTTTTTAAAAGTATTTTTTAAATATTGAGGTATCAAATTTTAATGTATGTCAGAATAGCACAGTGGCTTATGAAGACATTTTTTTTTTAAATTTTAGTAAGTTTGTAGTCGCCCCAGCAGTGTTTGAGCTGGTGTTAAATGAACTATCCGCTGAGAGAAGTCCCTTTAACATTGATAACTTATGAATTGCCTTAAGGCTAAGGCCACGTCTTCCTCATCATTGTTTAGATGATAAACTTAGAACTTAAGGTCTAGCGCTTGTGTGTGCTTAGTAGACGCTGTGTGACCCTTGGTGCGCATCGGATGTGCTCTTCTTTCAGGTCGCCATCAAACAGATGAATCTTCAGCAGCAGCCGAAGAAAGAGCTGATTATTAATGAGATCCTGGTCATGAGGGAAAACAAAAACCCAAATATTGTGAACTACCTGGACAGGTATGGAGTGGGTGGGTCCTGGGAGAAGTTTCAGGCCTTTAAGACAGCTGTGTTAGAGAAGAAAATGAAGCCAGCACTCGGAGCTGCTTCCGTTTAAGTATTTTCTGTCCTGAGCTCTTTGCTAGAAAATCCTTCTGGGTGATGGTTAACCCACCGCCCCACAGCTTCTAACAGCTGTGCCTTCTGCTTTAGGGAAGGCTGCCTCTTCAGCTCGCCTGCCTGATGTCTTTATTTCCTTCTGTATCCCAAGCATTTCTCCATCCCGCTCACCTTGAAAACTCCTTGTTGTCTATACACTCTTAAAACATGGTGCTCAATCCAGTCTGGTGTTGTTTTGAAATCTGACCACCATGAAAAAATGGTTCTCTTTGTTTTTCTAAACTCAATAAAAGTGCATCTGTTTGTGATCCCCCATGCCTGTTGTTAGGTACTAGTAAGTTTGTGGTCAACTGAAATTTATTACCCCCCATATAAGCTAGCATTAAACTGAGAATACAGAACATTTAGCTTACCAGCTTCTGCCTCCAGACTGCTTGGATTAAGGCATGCACTGCCATTTTTAACTTGTCCTATTTATTCTTTATTACCTGACAAACATGGCCGTTGGGTTGGGGTACAGCCCTGTGATAGAATGCTTGGCCAGACGTATGAAGCCCTGTGTTTGGTTCCCAGCATCCCCAGAAGAAATTACAGCAGAACAGAATTAGAATCTTACCTTTGTTTGAGATAAGTCTTAAAACCTTTCAGGTCTCCCTCTACCAAGTAAGACCCATTCCCAGGATCAGTCTCACACCTTAAGACAACACGTGCTTTTCTCCAGCATGTCATGGCAGATTAACACACGTCAGCAGCCTCCTCTCCTGTCTGCAGGGAGAAGGTGTCGGCCAGATGGGCTGAGTTACCTTTCTGTTTATCACGTAATGGGTCTGGGAGACCTGATCTCTGAGTCAGATTCAGTTCTAACTCGGGTCAGTTTATAACGTCCAGGCTACCACACCACAGCCAAAATCCTCAGAAGTCATTGTCAGCGTGGTAGCCTGGTGTTCATTTTACAGCCCCTAAAGACCTAACACAACCCTTTCACTTAACATATATTTAATAATATATATTTAACATGCATATTTTACATGGATTTATTCGGTAAATAATGGTATCTACTGTGCTGGACCCTGGGGCTAGGGTCTTGAACTAGACCCAGTTTGCCTTGTGGATCTCAGGTCTAGTAGTTCTCCCAAGGAGGCCCTGTGGCCGTCCGTTTTCATGGTAATATGGCTTCCAAATCCCATCCTTTTCACGTGTGTGCGTGTTGCCTGTATGCTCTTACAGGTGTGGGAATAATTCTGATATTTTTAGTTTTAAGAGGTAGCCTCTGGTATTGCAGAGAAATGTGATTTTATATTTTAGCCTTGTGTTCTTAGTTTTAGTGTTTGGGACTTCATAGACCACGTATGTTTTGTTCTTTTCAGGTGTATCCCCAACTGTTTTAAAATTGCTGATTCTGTTCTCCAAATTTTGTTTTTTCCCAGAGTAAGAAACCCTAAACCCTTCCAAAGCTGCCTGAGATGGTTTCCCTTGTATCCCCGGCCCCCGATTCTGAAACCCCCTGCAGTGGCTTCCTGTGTTCTAACCGTTCCTTTGCCCTGCATCCGCTTTCCTGCAGTTACCTTGTGGGCGATGAGCTGTGGGTTGTCATGGAGTACCTGGCTGGAGGCTCTTTGACGGATGTGGTGACGGAAACCTGTATGGATGAGGGCCAGATAGCAGCTGTGTGCCGGGAGGTAAGGCCTCTATATCACCATCCATGTGAGTTCACATCCAAAAGAGGCTTCAGTCTGGGCTTTGTGGAAACAGAAGTTAGTTTTGGCACACTTTCACCTTCCCAGCTGAGAAGGATGCTAACGGGAGTAAACAGGATGTTGAAGATGCTGGTGTTTTGCTCTTGAGAGACTGAGTTGTTGTTGTTGTTGTTTTGTTTTTGTTTTGTAGTTTTTCTTGGTGGCTTTTTTTTTTATTTTGTTTTTTTGAGACAGGGTTTTTCTGTGTGGCCCTGTCTGTCCTGGATCTTTCTCCGTAGCCCAGACTGGCCTCGAACTTAGAGATCCTCCTGCCTCTGCCTCCTGAGTTCCGGGGACTAAAGGCATGTCCACCATGCCCCAAGAGACTGAGATTTTCTAATACCTAATAGTAAAGTTAGAAGATTGAAGAAAAGATGAGATTAAAAAGTGTATGGGGATGAGTGTGATTAGTGTCTGATGGTGGGAAGTCTAGAGGAAAACGGATAAAATTATAGAGTGTACTTAGGCAGTGTTGATGAGAAAGAAATTAACAACATTGTCATTTAGAATCTCTACAATTAAATTAATTCCGAGCTGTAAATCCTAGAAATTCTGATTTTATTTGCTCTAACACTAACGCAATATTTTATGATCTTTTAAAAATAACTCTTCCCAGCCAGGTAGTGGTGACACGCGCCTTTAATCCCAGCACTTGGGAGGCAGAGGCAGATAGACCTCTGTGAGTTCAAGGCCAGCCTGACCTATAAAGAGAGATCAGAGAACATGTATGCGTATGCACACATATCAGCTGAGGAGTGTGGTATGCATTAGGCCCTGAGTTTGGTCCCAAGAACTGCACCAAAGTCGTGAAGAACATGGCCAGAAATTTAAATGTCATAAATAAGTGGTATTATTATTCTTAAAATCTAACAGAGATGCCCTCTTCTGACCTCCACACACATCAAACACATGATGCACATACATACATGCTGGCAAAACGCTTTCACATAGAATAAAATGTATAAATCTACTTGAAATGTTAAGACACTGCTCTGTATTTAATTTAAAAAGTTCTTTTGCATGTGTGTGTATACACATGCATGTATGTGGATGTGTACATGATATGGTGTACATGTGGCAGTCAGAGGACAGCTCTGCTTTGTGGGTTCCAGGAATCCAGCTTAGGTAATAAAGCTTGGCGGCAAACCCTTCATCCTCTAAGCCATCATCTAACCAGACATTTGCAGTGTGCCATCTGTCTATTTGTACTGTATTTGACCTGTTTGTCACTCATTCTGCTGGGTAAATAGAAGTGTTTAAGTTTTGTGTGTATGTGTGCGCGTGCGCATGTGAGTGTTGGAAGGCATTACAATAGGTGTTTTGCTTTGTTTTGTTTTTTCCTTTCTTTCCCCCCTTTTTTCTTTCCCCCCTTTTTTCTTTCCTTCCTTCCTTCCTTCCTTCCTTCCTTCCTTCCTTCCTTCCTTCCTTCTTTCTTTCTTTCTTTCTTTCTTTCTAGATCTTTCTCATATCTTTTACTGGTTGTAATCATTCCTGAGCCTTAAAAGTCGATTTGTGCTGGCAGTGTGGGTAAGTGAGAGTGTGTACTTGGTATTTATGAGGCCATGGTTTTACTTCTCAGCACTGAAAAAATAAATCTGTATTTGTGAATGATTTATAACTATCTATCTCTGTATAGAACTGGGATGTCAAATTCAGTGTGGCCCAGTAGTACAGACTTCTTTCCCAAAGTAAGATCGTCTGTGAATGTCACTTCTATGTGGCGCCTTTCCTAGACGTGGAAATGTATTGATAGAACACTTCTGATTAAAGCAAAATTGTAAGATGAAAGCAGTATGCAGTTTTAAATTAAAATTTAAATTGTGTGTGTGTTTGGGGTGGAGGGTTACATGCACATGTACGTGGTACCCAAGGAGGCCACGGAGCCATCACTTCAGCCTCCCCTACCCTGCCCCACAGAGTTTTAAATGACTTCTTAGGAGACAGAAGACGTGGTTATATAGCTGGCTCTGCCTCTCTGCGGGGCAAGTCCGTTTCTTCCTGGAGGCCTTGCTTCCTTTATCTTACAATGAGGAGGTTAGATTGTCGTTAGTCTTCTAATTATATGATTCTTTCTTCTGCACACACTAATGCAACAGTGTCTACAAGCTTTGGAGTTCCTACATTCGAACCAAGTCATTCACAGAGACATCAAGAGTGACAACATTCTGCTGGGGATGGACGGCTCCGTCAAGTTGAGTGAGTATGGCTCTCAGGAAGGATGACGCTTCTCTCTGTGCAGGGTGTGGCTTGGGTGGCTAATTAAATAACAGTAGCTACAACATTCGCCAGAGAAACCTTGTTATTTAATAAGGTGTTATGGGATATCTGTATTCCTCTGTAATATCATACAGTGTCTTTTCACTATTTTCCAACTCTTTTCCATTAAAACACTCCCCCCCCCCCCGAATGCCGATTTCTGTGGTTCTCGGATAGGATCTGATACATTTTACCAGCCTTCGAGGAATCCTCAGTCCCCAAGAGACCTGTAACGGATTTATGTAACTCACTCATTCAGTTATTTATTCGGGAGCCATTTGCTGAATGTCTGTTACGTGGCAGTCTTTTTAGAGGTGCAGGGAAGACAGCCTTCACTGTCAAGGGTGTGGCCAGTTTAAATAAATGTACAGTTTCGGTGTCGTGGCATTTTGTACAAAGGTGTGAAGCCAGTTACCTCGGCAAACTGAGTCCTGAGGGGGTAGACGGCTAGAGTGAGGAGCTGAAAGTAGGGATCTAGCCCAGTGTTGGTGGTTGGGGCTTAATTCAGTGACTTACGTCCACAAGGTAAGAGATTAATTAATTATAAGATTCTGAGGTATGGAAACGTTTTTTATGTATAAAGGGCTAAGCAATTAAGACCAACACGGTCCTGCTGGACTGTTTGAGAAGGCGAGAGGAGACTAGAGGTGTTGTTCTGTGTGTTTCTCCTGCTTCTCTTCATGGTTGAACGCGGAGGGACTGGTAGCCGTTAAGTGAATCCTGCTTTGGTGAGATGGATTGCAGGGAGCCCAGCTTGATGGCCGTGTGTAGGTACAGCTCTTACTGACGGACTCTCCTAAGTGTGTCTCTCCTCTCCCTGTTTCTAGCTGACTTTGGATTCTGTGCACAGATAACTCCAGAGCAGAGCAAGAGGAGCACCATGGTGGGAACCCCATACTGGATGGCACCTGAAGTTGTGACACGCAAGGCCTATGGACCCAAGGTTGACATCTGGTCCCTGGGTATCATGGCAATCGAAATGATTGAGGGGGAGCCCCCGTACCTCAACGAAAACCCTTTGAGAGTGAGTGTTCCCATCTTCTTTCAAAGTATTTGGGCTTCTGTCTCTAATCCCAGAAAGTTGGATTCAGGCTCTTCTCTCTGTATACTTGGGCATAGTAATACATTCTTATAATCGTAGACTCACAAGACTGAGATAAGATGCCAGTTTGAGGCCAGCTTGTCTCAGAAAACAAAACCAAGGGGTCTGAGTTGACTCAGTGAATTAATGTTTCTGCTGCCAAGCCTGACGATTTGCGTTTAATCCCTGGGACCTAAGCGGTAAAAAGAGAGAACCAGTTATTACAGCTTTTCCTCTGGTCCCCACACATGCACCGTGTGGTCCACATGTGCCACATACACATGTGCACACACTGAATAAACAGATGTCACACACGTGTAAGCCCAGAGACTAGATACTGTTGAACTTAAAATACAAACGAATATAAAATATAAAAGGGTCTGGGGACATAGCTTACTTTTAGAGCTCAATCTTAGCTCTTGTATGGTTAGGGGAAGAAATAAGGGCTGATAATATATACAAGATACTGTTCTGATAATAATACCAAATTATTATATAGTAACAGATGGTAACTGCTGTTGAAAATGTAGAATAAGAATGAAAACGTGATGAGGAAGGTTTTATTAAGAGGGAAGTTTTCTCTTATTATTTCAGCAGAAACATGAAGAAGATTTAGTCTTATGCAAGATTTTCCAAGTATCAAGAATTTGATTTGATTTTTTGCTTGTTGAGCCCCACGTTCAAAGAGGCTATTTCCCTGGAAGGAGTGAGGAGAAAGTAGACTGGTAGCCAGAGTCAGGGGTAAGAGCGAGCCGGCCGCTAAGACTTGTGGCCCATGTGAGACCTTGTTTTATTGCACTGGAAAGGGCTTCCCTCTAGCCAATAGAACAGGATACAGTTTGTGCTGGCAGTGAGTCATGCTGGTTGCTTCTTTAGAGATCGGTGAGAGACCGATAGAATGGTCCAGACGAGACTTGTGGCTTGGATGGCCCTGGTAGGGATGTAGGGGAGAACTAGACTCGGAAAGCATCTTGAAAGCATCTTGATGAGGTGAATTGGGATAGCCTGAATTGCTGAGGAAGTCGATTCCCCTTTGCCTCAGTAACTTTGCTGTTGCTGTGACCAAGGCCACTTAGAACAGAAAAGGGTTTGTCTGTGCTCACGGATCCAGGGGGTGAGAGTTCATGATGGGGGAGTGGAAGGAATGGCCGCAGGAGCAAGATACTGAGAATGTCCGTCTGGAACCACACCCGAGCCAGGGAGAGCAAACTGCAAGTAAGGCAAGCCCGCAGGTTCCGCCTCTAGTGATGGGCGGACTTCCTCCTGCAAGGCCTTCATGGCCTGTTCCTGGAGGGATAGGGACAGACACCTAACTTGAAAAACCCATAAGAGCAGAAAAGGAGAAATTGAGATGGCATTTATAAATATTTTTCTCTTCTTATATGAGAAATGGAACGAGATCTTGCGGAGAGTTGAGAGGGTCAGGCTGAAAGCTTCAGGCTTGTTAATGGCGGTGAGTTAGTGCTGAGGAGAAAATGGTCGTTTGAGAGAGAGAGAGAGAGAGAGAGAGAGAGAGAGAGAGAGAGAGAGAGAGAGAGAGAGAGAGAGAGAGCACCTTGTAATCAAAGAGTACTTATAAAACTCATTACTATGTTTTTCTTCCCCTTTCAAGAGTGGCTTCATGTCAGGGGCAGGGAAGCCACAGAAGAACAGTTGCTGTCTAACCAAACATGCCCTTTTTATAGTCCTCCTGGGTGACTGAGTTCACTGAAGGGGTCAACACTGATTTGGGTCAGCTACTAAAGAGCTGTTTAACTTACCATGCTGAGTGACTAATGAACTGTTTATATCTGTAATCAAGAGAAAGAATAAACCCTTGGACTTGTAACACCTCAGAAGCGTACAAAGTGCTTTCCAAACGCACTCTTTATTTTTGTGGAGATGAAGTATTGTTTTATTAGCAACGAAGTTATATATTAGCTACGTATACGTGGTCACATGGCCTTGAGATGTTAGACTTGATCCTTTAGTATCTTCTTGTGTCCTGGAGCATCCCGCAGCTGGCCATACTTTGAGAAGACATGTCTTGAGACCGAGAGAGCGAGCCTCAGTGAGACCAACATGGTTCTTCATTTGTATCGCCAGGCCTTGTACCTCATTGCCACCAATGGCACCCCAGAGCTTCAGAACCCAGAGAAGCTGTCCGCCATTTTCCGGGACTTTCTGAACCGCTGTCTTGAGATGGATGTGGAGAAGAGAGGCTCGGCTAAAGAGCTGCTGCAGGTAACGGTCCTTCTGTGGCGAGACGCCTGATGGGAAGGAGCGCCAGCCCGCCTTTGTGTCTCATTTTCGTCTTTGAGGTTACTTCTCGTAGGCTGCCCTCCTGCTGTCTCACTTTGTACTTCTATCTCTCTGACCGTCACCCCGGGCCTTTGCTCAAAGCTGTCCCTTAGTTTCTTCCTCAGTCTGTTTAAACTTTACACATTTTCTAGGCTCAACTCAACGTCTACTTTTCTGAGCTTCCTTTGAAGTTTTTCCTGTGTCTTTCAGACATCTTGTTTTGCCTGAATTAGCCTATCAAAGTTTGGGTCTTGTGAAATAGCTCTCTAAGAAGTCTAATTTTGTACATTTTACTAAGCAATACCAAGGAACAGTGTCTCGGGCAGTGGTTCTCAACCTTCCTGACGCTGTGACCCTTTAATACAGTTCCTCATGGTGTGTGATTCCCCAGCCATAAAATTGTTTTGTTGCTACTTCAGAACTGTAATTTCGCTGCTATTGTGAATTGTAATGTAAATATCTGATATACATGGTATCTGATATGCGACCCCCAAGGGGTTCATGCCCCACAGGTTGAGAGCTGCTGGTCTGGGGGTAGTGCAGTTTTGGAGTCTTTATAGTCTTGCCATTGCAGACTTCAGATGGTGGCAGCGATATTCTGTTTGTGTGGAGTGAGACTCTAAGGGTGTAGTGAAGCAGAGTTGGATTTACCAAGCCGTTTATAAAAAGTACTTTTATTCTGAGGTCACAGCTTAGTTAGTTCATATGGTTTCAAAAGCTACCTTTAGCAAGTGACATCATTCATAGTTAGCATCTTTTAAAATACAGTTTCTGATTTCTTGGGTCATTTTACTGAACTGCAAACTGGGAATTTATTGGGAAGTACACATTATGGAGGTGACAGTGTATGTCTGCAGGTTAACCATTACTGTGGTGTCGCTAGACCAGAGCATGGCCAGCAGAGCAGACAGCAGAACCTTAGCACCCGCCCTGTAGTAGTTACACGTGAACCTCTCCGTCTTGACAACTCCACTGTAAACTCTGTTTTATTACTATCCGGGCTTCTTCTTATATGCGATCTGACCGAGAATCAGTGCTCAGACAATATTTATAGAGTTGAATAGAGATGTTTACTTACCTATGTTTCTAACATCTGTTTGTGATTGAGGCTACTGTTCAGAGCACTGTTCTGTTAGGTATGGGATCTGGGTTCTGCCAAGTATAAGTCATTAGATCCCTTGGGACTAAAAGGCTCCTTAAACACATGGTACAATGTAGAGTCCTTTTTGCCTTTCATGTGACTTGTGTGCTGGAAGCCATGGGCCTTGGGAAATGTATCAACTCTGTGCTAAGTCTGTGGTCATTGGAAACATTCTTAATTAGGTACCCAATTGTAGCCCTTGAAAGCGCCCTCTAGAGTTTCTTCCTGGTACAGCAGGTACATTCTGTCCAGCAACCCTGTGAGTTACAGGATTGGTTATTCCCATTTTTGCAGGTGAGGAAATTTACATGTAATAACTTTTGTGTGATTATACCGTTGACAAACAGCAGATACAGTGTTTCAGTATGTCTATCTGTCTCCCAAGTGTAATGCTCTTGGTCATTGCTTCTATAGACTCAGGACATGTCAGCTGGAAGGTTTATAGGGCTTACCTAGTTTACTTTGTTGAGAGAAGTAGAGGGAGGCTTCCTAGTTGAGTATTGGAGGACGCTGCTTTCTTTCTTCAGAAGACTTAGAAAAATAGGACTTCATCCGTAGCTCCTTAACATCATTGTTATCTGGTAAATATTCACAACCTAGACTTTTCAGGATCCTCAGTCACGAAGTTTCACACCTGTTTCTCCTGTGAGAATATACATATGGGCAGAAATATATAGGATGAGACAGAAACGTATAGAACCCAGTATGGGAGCCGTAGCTTCAAGCTTCAGCCCAGATCATTCTGGTTCTCAGTTCCCCTATATCTCCTGTATCTGTCCCAATAAGTTGAATCAACCTCCAGCAGTGAATGTATATGTATATGTCTGTGTGTCTGTACACATTTATAATAATACTAAAGTTATTATAAGCATGGTAGAAGAGCCAGATAATGTTCAATAATTATAAACATCACATTTGCTCAGAAAAGGAAACGTAGCTCTGATATTTATTATCAAATGGAAGAAACAGTCTGCATCCTCAGGATAATTGTAGAAAACAAAACAAAACAAAACATAAACAACCCACCGTTTTAGGAAAGTGGTTACATAAAGAACTGTTTTCTATAACATTTTCACAGGATATTTTCTCTTAAATGATTTATTTTTTAAAATAGAAGTATGACTCAAAGTCCGTTTCAGTGAAAGTAATTTTGGAAAGGACCAAACTTTTGAAATTCTTACTGAACACTTGGCCTTGCTGGAGTCAAGGCTTTGACAAAGAGTCCTATGTGGTGCATGCTTGTATTCCCGGCTGAAGGCTAAGGTTGTCATGTTAGGACTAACCTTCAGTGTCTTTCCCAGAAATAATAGTTACTCTGTTATTGCAATAGTTTAGTTTTACTTAGGAACAAATAAAATCATACAAAATGAACTTTTGTCTTCTTTCACTCAAAATGTCTATGGTATAGAGCCAGGTGAGGTGATTTAAGCTTTTGATCCCAGCAGAGGCGGGCAGATCACTGTGAGTTTGAGGCCAGCGTGATCTATAGATTACAATCCAGGACAGCCAGGGCTGTTACACAGAGACGACCCTGTCTCACAAAACAAAAACAAAACAAAAAAAGAGGTCTATGGATTCATCTTGCTTTCAGTGTGTCAATTACTGTGTTAATATTCTGTATAGTGGTTTTTTTTTTACAGGCATTTTAACTATTATAAGTAAACATGTATGCATAGTCAGTGAGATAGCTTACTGGGTATCCTGGTACCTGCTGCCAAGTCTGACAACCTGAGATCCCTTCCCCTGTTCCTATAATTGTGAAAAGAATTGAATTCTGAGAGTTGTCCTTTGACCTACATACACACACACACACACACACACACAGAGTAAAATATGTTTTCTTCCTTCAGTTTGAGGGCGATCTGACATGGCCGTCCTTACTGTCTTCAAATGGCTGCTGAGTGAGAATGGCAAATAATCAGACTCTCTCTGCTCTTTCTTCTCCCAGCATCAGTTTCTGAAGATTGCCAAGCCCCTCTCCAGCCTCACCCCACTGATTGCTGCAGCCAAGGAGGCCACCAAGAACAGCCACTGAACCATGTCCACCCCAGCATCATCGTGCCAAGCCTTCTAGGAAAAAAAACCTCGTTTCAGGAACTCCGACCCTCATGTCCTCCCCCCCTTGCCTCGCTTCTCCCATTTCCTGATCTAGTGCTCTCGTGACTTCGACCTTGGACACTGCGTGTGTTGCACTGAAGAGAACTGCGGCTGGGTGACCGGCTAATCCAGCAATGGCCATTTCTAAACAGGACTTCCCTTCCAATTCGTGGGCGTGCGGGAGGTGACTTATGAGTAGGGGTTTACCTGAATAAACCTGTTTCTACGAAACAGAAATCGCAACCATCCCATTCCTCACCCCTCACAATCAGTTCTTGGCTGTATAAATTTATGGTTTGATAGCATTATCAATTTGCGATCAGTCAAAATTTCTTTAGCGCCTTCTTTCTGTGACCAAATTTCCCAAACACCTCGTTGTATTGGAAAATCGTTAACAGCTTTGGAAATGCCGTGGGGCCTGATGTTCTGCCAGGGATGTGAACCGTGACATTGGTGCAGCCGACCCCGACATGGGAGAGCTACCGTGTTTTTCTTTGTGTGTGCTTCTAGCAGCTGTTCGGGAGAACCTTGGCGCAGTAGTGTCCCCTGTGCTATTTCTAGTGAAGTGGTCTTAGCTCTGTAGCAGCTTTTGATTCCCTGCATCCCCTAGGCCGCTGCCTGCATTGTTATGAATCTTATTTATAGCATCGAGAGATTTCCTAGAGCACAAGTCGAGCGAGAGCAGCGCGAGAAGGCAGAGGGACAGCGCAGCTACTTTTAGCGCATGGCTGGGCTTCAGCACCTGTCCAGCTAGGCCCGTGCGCTATTTCAAGGTCTCAGCCTCCGTTTCTACCTGGGATAGGGAGCTGAAAGACGAAACTCAGATTGTTTGGTCGCTTCACTATTTCGGTCGAAAGAAAAGGTCTCTAAATCTGAGATGTTGTGCTCCTAGCGATAAAGGGACCCTCTTTTTAAATGCATGACCAAGCTCTCTGCAAACGGACATGCTTACTCTGGGTGTTGGGGATATTTGCTACCTCCCGCTTCCTTTGTGGATTTGGTTCTCCCACTGTGGTAGGATGCTTGGCCAGCATTGTGGCTTGTCGTGTCAGCCCCGCTGACGACTTTGTCCTGCTCGGAGGTGTGCCTGCCTCAGCAGCACACGTTTCTGTTTCCTTCAATAAAAGGAAAAGAAAATACGCACGTGGAGTGTGTCTTTTTCCCCTTCTCATGTTTCTGCTTCCCCCCCCTTCTCATGAAATAATACTGATTCCTCATGAACCCTTTGGAAGTCAGTTGCAGATAGGATACCCCTTTGCGGTCATAGACTTCCATTTGTCTTTTCTTTTTCTTTTTTTTTTTTTTTAGTTTAGATATATACCAAAGAACTTGGCCAAAACGAAACAAACAATCACAGCAAAGTGTGCATTGTTTAAAGAATTATTGTAAACACGCATGTCTTCGGTGCCCATGTAAGGAACAGAGCTCGCCTAGGACCTTAGGACCGTCTCCATCTTGCTGTTCCCTCATTCCAGCCCTCCTCTCTGGTGGTAACCATGACATGCTTGGGTGAAATCATATGTGTCTACACTTTCACAAACTACAAATGTACTCCACAGCAGCACGTCCTGCCAGGTTGGTTTTCTTCCCTCCCCCTCAAGACTGTTTGTAGGAGCTTTGCAGTTATATATAGGTCTAGCCTAAGAACTGGGAGTGCTGAGTTCAATATTCCGGCTTAGTAAAGAAGACCACAGACTCAGCCTGAAGTTGAAGGAGATAACTGAGGAGACCGAATGCAGCAACAGTTGGCCGGCTAGTCTAGGCATACCCTGGCTTGATTTTCCTGCTCCGGCTGTCTGGCCTCAGGGCACAGTCAAGGTGTCTGGGGCTGTGTTTCACACAGTACTCAGAGCTCTCTCCCAGGCTCACTGGTGGTTGATAGAAATTCAACTCCATCCTAGAGAGCAAAATCTAGAGAACGATTCTCAACATTCCTAAGTTGCTGTCCTCATGGTGTGGTGACCCCCAGCCTTAACATGATTTTCATTGCTACTTCATAACTGTAGTGTTGCTACTGTTAGGAGTTGTACTTAGACTCAGGTTGAGAACCCCAGCTCTAGAGGAAACAAGTAGCAATAATGTAACAAATTAATTGAGTATGTTTCATCTTGGCTCACCCACTATATATATATACTACTTAAATCACCTAAACTTCAACTTCTGGATCTGTAAAGTAGGTATAATAATAGTATCTACCTCTGAGTTTCTGAGGAACTAAAATAATTTTTGCATAACCTTGGGTACAATCCCTGGAACATGGCAATTGCAGTCCTATGTTGTAATGCTTGAAGTGACCTGGTTTGTCAGAAGGCTGTGTGCTAATTCTGACTCTCACTGGCACTAAAATAGGAGCCTTACATAAGAATCTATATCTGGGAGTCTAAGTTATACTTGAGCGTTTTGGTCAACGCTGGTTTCTTATCATAAAATCAACAATCACTTAAACACTGGCCAAAACTTGTGTTTGACTAGACGAGGCATTAAAGGCCTGTAATCCCAGCCCTTGAGAGACATGCAGGAGAACAGCTTGAGCTACGTTTTAATATTGTCTCAAAAACCAAACCAAAATAATAAATTGTGTCTAGTCACGGCTGCTTGACAAGACCGTTAAAGCAGAAGAAGAAAACTGAAACTCCTCTTTTCCTGGCTGAGTTGCTAAGTGATAACACCTAGCATTCGTATCTCATGTCTCTTAGACTTGGAGTTCAAGTTTCCTTATTACAGTTGTGTTAAAAGCAAAGAATGGCAGGGCATTTGTGGTGCACACACTTTTAATCCCAGGCGTCAGGAGGCAGAAGCAGGTGGATCTCTGTGACTTCAAGGCCAACTTGGTCTACAAAGCAAATTCCAGGACACACAGCCAGGAGCAAAGCAAAATCAAAAGGATTGATTTTAATGTTCTTGCAGGTAAAAGGAAATTGTGGGAGCTGGGAAGATGGCTCAGCAGTTAAGAGCTCTTGCAGAAAACCTAACTTTGCTTCCCAGCACCAGGATCCGACTCTGTCTTTTGGCCTCCGTAGGCACACACACATGTGACATACACTCACACAGACATACACATAAACATAAAAAAATAAAAGGAGATTCATAGTCAGTAATCTGCTCCCCAGGTAAAGACATTTATGCAGCCTACTGACATGTGTTCCAAATCACACACACACAATAAATTAAGAAAGGAATAAAAGTTTTTTTTTTAACAAAAGCAGGTGACTTGTCAAACAGGAACACTGTGCGTGCCTAACAAAAGCTTTGCCCAAGATTGGGGCTTGATGCATCGCTGCTGGGTGGTTGGGTAGGGCTGGCACCAGGTCTCGGCCGGCAGGCTGCCAAGAAAAAGAATTCAGATGCTGGCACAAGACCGATGGCATATGTACTCACAAGCATATCCCTTTCTTCATACCACCTTTCTCGAGCTGATTTAGACAAATGCCACTTAAGACAGCCTTGACTGTTTATTCATCCTTAGTCCAAGGGCTAGGGAGCGGAACTGCTCTTCCAACAATGGAGTCACGGCTGGTTTGGAGAACTCCTGCACTCAGCTTCAAACCACAAGGAACTTGGAGACGCGGCAGCAGTTTTAAAATGACCGACATATTTGGCTGAGGGGTCTCTAAGCCAAGGGGAGCGTGTACCACTGCAAAAGTTTAAATGCGTGCTGGTGTTTTCACGTTGGTGACTGTGTCCCCCAACTGTTTGAAGTAGATAGATCTTAATGTTGACATGAAACTAAAATCACTCGTGGTGAGGCACAGATCAATGGAGATGGGTTAGTTTAGGATATAAGACTTAGCCAGAAATACGCTTAAGCTATTGGCCAAACAGTATTGCAAACGATATAGTTTCTGTGTGTTTATTACGGGACCAGGCGGGGCAGGAACCTCCACCAACAAGGACTAGATGGAAAATATATGGACTTTGGGGAGGTGAACAAAGGCATGAATAATTCAGAAGTCATGGACATTTTGGGTCCAGGATCAAGACCAGCAGGAAGGTCACCATTGTCAACTGTGGACAACTCTAATTTCTGACTTGAAGGCACCTTAACCACCAGACCGTACTTTGTAGAGCTCAGGACGACGCCCCCATTCCATCTGCTCGAAATACTCTGCAATCTTTGCTTTCACCAAAGTTCTTCGGGTTCCACAGTTTCCTCGTTCCCCTCCCAGTCTAGCTGGATTGTAGAGTTAAGTTCATGGTTATGAATATAAACTAAATGAGAAAGAAAAGGGAGATCAGTTCAAGACGCCTGGGATTGCTGGGAGACAGCGGAAGTGGGAATGGAGGAGGAGAATAAGGATGGGGAAAGGGAGGCAGAGGCAGGCGGATCTCTGTGAGTTCGAGCTCAGCCTGGTCTACAGAGCTAGTGCCAGGACAGGCTCCAAAGCCACAGAGAAACCCTGTCTCGAAAAAAAAAAAAAAAAAAAAAAAAAAAAGAAGGCTCAACTTTAACTTCAGGGGTTCGTGCTAAGCCTAGTCGGTGTTGTTAGAAGATCAGCATGGCCTGCTCCTTGGCAGGCTTTAGGGAGTGTGAGTAATACGATCTCTTAACTGGTGGATGCACACTGAGAATTTGGGGGGCTAGTGGAGTTCGAAATACAAGAAATGGAGAGAGGCGGACTAAAGTAGTACCGCAAGCTAAGCAGAATTTCCTCCCCGTGCCAGACTGCGAAGGAAAGGGGGGTACCAAGGATGTAACACTGGGTTCAGAACTCGTTTAGAGCCACGGGAGACGAAACCAGTCTGAAAGGAAAGAGAATGGATTTAATCTGCAATTTACAGGGTTTGAAGTCTATTCCCCAACACACCATTGAGGACAGCCAAGGTGCAGCCAGTGTTTCTAATGCAGTGAGAGACCTTGTCTTAAAGGAAATAAAGTCAGAGTAACAAAGGAAAACACCAGAGATCCGTTTTTAGCCTCTGTATCTATAAGTGTTTCTGACCATTCTGATACATGTAGACACACACACACACACTCACGTATGCACAGCCTAATACTTAAATAAATAAGCCCAAAGGTAAAATGGCTTAGTGTCATATCTGAAACAGGTTTGCTTATTTTCCTTTAAGGGGGCCAATAAGAGA